CGGCCGCCTAGCATGGACGTTATGATTAGAGTCGGTCGGCATCGCGGAAGTGCGTTGTGGTGTTTATGCGGTGTGGGACATATTAGCATAGTTAATCATACGGATTGCCTTGGAACCAGAAGACATGAGCGATTTGGACCGCAAGGAAGCAGATCAGTTGAGATCCCTATGTTTGCATCGCATCGAATTGAACTATACTCATTGATCATGACATGGTCAGCGCTGTTCCAGCTCCTGCAAACATCATGCATCGCAACCTGTTTCTTTGAACCCTCAACGTCTGCCGCAGACTACTGACAGGCCCGGATATTAATCATGAGAAGGACTAGTATGAACAGATATGTACGTTCGTAGTATTTACAACCTATATGGTCGACTAGATAAATAATTACAGCAGGCGAAAGCGCGGGTTTCTGTAAACCAAGGACTACCCATCTAACATGAAGTTACGCCCATGAAACAACCAGTTCAGCGAAGGAACATCCCAGCGAACCCCGGGCCCAAATACGCGAAAATGCCCAAAGGCGAACAATGCAAGGGTGAAAGAAAAAGCGCTGCAGGTTTTCCTCATGCTCCGTGTTTCCATGGTAAAAAGACCCTATATTCCCCAGGCGATGGATGCACGGCCCACTTGAAAACGAAAGGAGAATTGTCGTAAATGTGTAGAAATATATATATGCATAAACATGAAAGAAAGCGTAACGCATGACGTCATGAGAGCATCCTGATGCTCAATCAATGGCCAACGGGCAGCCAGGTTCTGCGCTCGTCCATACTTCTGTTGGTGCGGCCCCCTGGTGTCAGGGGAATCTCAACGCGCGCTCGATCGTTGCGCTCTGGATCGCTGTCCGAGTCGTATGCGTCAGACAGGCGGGAAAAGTAGTCGGCCAACCCACTCGTGGGCGATGCAATGGTTTCGTAAAGGGGAGGTGGAGTCTCTAAGGGTGGAGGTGGTTCTATTTCTGAGAATGCGGGTGGGTTGAATGATGGTACGCGCATAAGATGAATGGGTCGTTGTACTGTAGAGTCATTCGGTCCGCCAATATGCGCTGCTTGCGGACGAGTAAGCGCCGGTGTTGGTGTTGGTATCACTGCGTCCGAGTTTCCTCTTGAGCGGCCTATTGAGCTCAGAGTTGGAACAAAGCTGGTTGGGGAGTTGCGCCGGGCTGGTGCATTCGGGCATCCACACTCGGGTACGCGCGTGCCGCTTAGGGCTGGTTCAGGCGACGAGTATGCTGGTAGTGCTGTGTTCGCTTGTGTAGCTTGACACGAGAGAATGTGGAAGGGTGAGTCAATGGAGATTTCGAAGTGTCTTCTCTTAGTTGGGTCAGTGGCGTCTGGTTTCGAGAGACGCATGACAAGCTAGTAAATTGTTAGTATGTAAGCCGCTTAAACCTAAGGTTGAACATACCTTGATCCAATGGTGTACCTGGATATTCTGGTATGTCGTGTCGAAGTGTAGCTTTGATGACTTGTCTTTCTCTTTGAGGTTATGGCAGCTTGGTAGCTGTACATTGAATTCCATCTCTGTAGGACCGATGTTCGCGTCGCCACCAAGATCACCCAGAAGGTTTGTAGGGTCTTGCACCTGCACGTCCTCGCCTCGTGAAGCAGCTGCTCGTTGGTCGTATGGAACACCACCTCCAGAGACTATTCGCATGGTGCTACCGGGGAAGGTACTGGTTGGTGGACCATCTGCACGTTTCTCGAATAATTGGACTTTACGGACCGGCTCCATTCGATGGACTCGCTTGTTGTTGCAGAAATACTCGACGTTCTCAGTGACAAACACCTTGATACGATGACATTGCACCTTGGCAAGCGGGGTCAGCTTGAAGGCAATGGGAACCTGTGCACCGAGTGGGAAGGATTTGCCAGAGATGACTATGTCGTAGTGTAACTGGTCTTCCCAGCTGCGGCTAATGGCGATAGGCTCAACCTGCTCCAGTGACCCCTCCGAAGGCGCGCGGATCAAGGTGACTTCCTTTGTTCCAACAAGGTTTGTGCGGAAGGCACCAGCGCGTTCGACAGTAGCTTCCAACTCATATTTGACTGAACCAAGGTCGACATCGATGGTCTCGGGAAGGTGGCTGTCTAGCGGTAACTCGAAATTGTACATGTACTCTCCAGGGTTGAAGGTCCTGTAACCCTTTTGTGCTACTGAAGGGCCGCCTCCAGGGGTATCGCCCTTACCGAAGCTTCGCGATTGATTGACTTGTAACGATAGTCGTTTCGCCTCCTTTGTCGTTAGATTCAGCGAAGAGTTGTTTGGCGATCCAGTCAATCCACCAGAACCCTTGTAAAGTTCCACGTGATCTGCGCCAGTGCCATTCTCGGCATTGGGGAATTGTGAATTGAAAAATGGCCAGGTGTGGCTCATCAAAGTGTCCACCTCTTCGAACTCAACTTTCTTTGGGGGAATGCCTAACGAGTGTTAGTTTTAGAATGGGATAATGTAGACGAACGTACCTTCTGGCCACTTAGTCGTCGCTTTGCCTCTAAACTTGAGCGTAACAGCCTTTAGTTTTGAGGGTTTGGTGATCTTCAGACATAGTGTTCCACGAAGCATCGCCGTGCTTCGCTCTGCATGCTCAGCTTGCTCGAACCCCCGTAGGAACAAGACCGGCTCTGTGAGTTGCACGTTGACACTGACACCACCACCTGAAGCCACGGGCTTCTCCTCTGGTACGCTCTTTACGTTGGTGATGATGCTTTTTGCGGATGCGCGGCCGGAAGACCAATGTGACTCGGCGACTGATGGTCTGGGCATGCCTGGTGCAGCCATGGCACCTCCAATTGCGCCTACAGCGCCACTACCAGAGTTTCTGGTAAGCGACCTCATGGTGGCGTTCTGGGAAGCTGGAACTGAGGCAACCGAGTTGCGATTGCTGCTGGTAGTGCTTGTCGACGATCGAGGCGTAGGAATGTCTGTGGTTTCGGTTTTGGAAGAAAAGTGGGTGTCGACAAACGACCGTAGGAAACGTTTAGCGCTGTCGCGTGGGACCGCCAGCTTTTCTGTAAAGTACGACTTGCTAGTCGTTTGGCGTCTTTGGACACGAAGTAGAGTCGGATCAGGACCGACGTGTGCGATGTGAATGCGGTGCGGTCTGCGATTGCGACCTGCGAAGATGCCGCGGTAGGTTCGCGGAGGACAGTCCAGATGGTCGGGGAGGTATCGTAATCGGCCACGTTCAGAGTAGACTGTGTGGTACTCTGGCATAGCGACGATGCGTTAGTGAGGTCAAGGGCAGGACGGGAGAACGATCAAGGTGTCGAGCAAAGGCATGCAGCGCGCCGAGTCTTATACAAGGTGTAATTGTAGAGGTCGAGAACAATTTGGCTTGTACAATTCCTCAGAGTCATGAGAGGGGTACAAAGGCTTCTTAGACTAGGTAACCCAACCAGGTTCCATGTGGATGCTTTGGGAAGGGACGATGAGGTTGGGCGCTACTAGACAAAGGGCCCGAACGCGGTGAAGGGGGAGATGAGACAAGGACTCACAGAGGGAGACAGGGTATCAAAAAGTTTGGTGAGGCTACCTAGTTAATGATGTGTAAATGCGATCAGCACGACAGGCCACTGTAGTGTTGTGGAGCGGTGAGGTTGCCGGTGCGTCGGAAGCGTGCGGGAATACCCTGTTTGGAGCGACTGCGCTGGCGACGAGGGGAGGTTTCTGGTCAGGACAACAACGGCGAGTAACAGGGACTTGCGGGTGTTTTGAAGTGAGTTGCAGCTAGCCGACTTGCAAGCATGTTACGAGGATGCGAGCATGTCAGACTAAGTCAGTGCAGGGACGGCGAAAGTGTACCGGTGTCGAGTGCAGGGAACAGGACGGATGACGCGGACGGTGTGCAGTGCTGCTGGTCGGCGGGGTCGCAGCAGCTGGGATGGTGGATTTGAGATGTTGCTTAGCAGAATTATCAAAGTGGAGAAGGCAGTGGTGCCAGATGGGGCAAGGAAACGTTCATGAGCACGTCAAGCAGCGTAACAGACGAGTATTCCCGCAGCGGGTATATGAAGTGCTAGCTACTAGGAGCGCTATGGGAGCGTAGCTTGCGCGGACGGAGGCTCGGATGCATTACATCATCTTGAGCACCAAGAGTTTGCAGGACTCGATGCAGGGGTGAGATCTCAATGGGCATCTACTAAGACGTGCTTCTAGACCCGTTGGCGGATAGCGACCGACTACGGGATACCCGGCACGGTACTTTGATCGACGACGACATGGCAGGCTTCCTCCCACGACTAAGCCCGCACGGATGAGATTACATCTATGTAGGCGAGCACGAGCACGAGCACGAGCACGCGCTCATGGAAAGTGACGGGATCGCTTAGACCCCAAGCTCCATAGCCACGCTGTCCCTGGGCAACGCGCAATCTCTCAAGTGTCAAGACAGACCAAGCGATTGATGCCCTCTGGCTGTGCATGGACGGCGGGCGCCTGTGCCTTGATTTTGCAATATTGGAGCAGTTTGATAGAGCATGCCCGGGCATCCTGCGGCATAGCGCGACTGCAACCACACAAACAGGGTGTCAGCGCGTTGCGTCCCACGATCGCCGAAAAGAAAACAGCAGGCCCAATTGCGTAAAGATCAGCGCCTGGGGTTCTGAATCTGGAGTTGCAGCAATCGTGAGTGGGCGGATCGGCGCAGAGAGCAGGGCGGGCTGCCAACTCAGCCGCCCCCAAGCTCAAGGCCAGGAACAAAGCAGTCGTCATTCTGGCTGCGGTGGGTACTCGGCAGTGGAGGAGAAAGCTTTTTTTTTCGTGGCATGTGGCGAGGTTCGGATCATCTGGGGATGGTCCAAGATGGGAAGCAAGGCGGACAGTGCGGAAGGAGTAGCGAGATGTGGCCGAGACGTAGGGCTTCCACCGCCAGAACCCACGTGACCGCGAGTGTGGCTTCCCCGCAACGCGTGGGCAAGACGAGGCTTAGCCCAGACGCGCTTTCTTCGGCGTTAAGCACACGACACTGCGACTTTTGCAGGTGCCCGCCAGTGCCATGGATGCGAACGATGTAGGCTACGGTGCGTCTGACACGACCGCCATGCGTTGAACGCAATCGCTGACTCTATGTAGGGACAGCCCAACTGCCCCTTGCTGGGGCCATCCTCTGCTGCACCTCCATCGCCCCCGAGCAGCGCGTACGTCCACCAGTATCCTCACATCCCACCCGCTCTAACAGCCGCATAGGCCAAACTCGCAGCCATTGGCGCGCAGATGGGCGCGACCATCAAGCTCGACCTCACGTCCGACGTAACCCACCTCATAGTTGGCAGCACCGACAGTGCTAAATACCGCTATGTCGCCAAGTCGCGCGACGATGTCAAGGTCCTGTCCCCAGAATGGCTCGAGGCGCTGAGGGAGGTGTGGATGGCTGGCGACGACATTTTGGACATGGCCGCGCTGGAAAAGGAGTATCGCATGCCGACTCTCGCGGGACTGAAAATATGCCTCACTGGCTTCGACAACCGTACGTCGCCCGCTCTACGTACATGGGACGGTACTGACCAATGCAGCTGAGCAACGGAAGCGCATCCACGAGACTGTCGATGCCAACGGAGCCGAGTACCATGGTGACCTCACCAAGTCCGTCACCCACCTCATCGCCGCCGCACCATCGGGGAAGAAGTACGAACACGCCCTGAATTGGAGGATGAAGATTGTGGCGTTAGAATGGCTCGACCAAAGTCTAGAGAGGGGCATGGTGTTGGACGAGGCCCTCTACAACCCCACCATGCCCGTCCAGGAGCGCGGGAATGGTGCTTGGGATCGCAAACTGCCTGCCTCGCCCGCCCTGGGCAAGCGCACACGAGACGCAGAAACAGGCCAAGCTCTGAATCCCTTTCGCAGGAAGCTGCGTCGCTCGGCAAGCACCAAGGTAGGAAGCCAGAGTGATGCCTTTTGGGCGGGCATCACGGCGCCCAGTTTCGAACGACAGCTAGACGAGGATGAGTGGACAGAGGACGTTGCTACTAAGCCAGATAGTACGCGTACAAGCACTCGTACACACACGCCAGCGGCCTCCATTCATGACAACGATACGCTGACCGAAGCGCAACTTGATGACCATGCAGACAGTCATGAACAACATTTGCCACCACAACCCAACGACGCGTCCCAACATGATGGCATTTTTGAGGGTCGCGTCGTATGCACACATGGCTTCGATGTAGAAAAGGTTCGCCATTCTCCACCTCAGATTCTAGACCTCACTGACGTCTCCACTAGACAAACATTTTGCGGCAGCATCTCGAGAGCAACGGCGCGCACGTAATGCGCGTGGCTGATCTCAACAATGCCTCATCCGAAGATCTACGGCGAGGCTACTTTGTAATACCCCATGACGTTGAGGTCGATTTGACGGCACTTCCGGAGCGTGCCGGTTCACACCTCAATCTGGTCACTAATTGGTGGGTCGAGCGCTGTCTCTATGGAAAACGTCTAGTAGACCCCGCGGGTGATGTATTGAGTCGACCATTCCAAAAGCTTAGTATTAGTGGTAAGTTTGCGCATCACCGTTGGTTTATTGGTTGCTGACGTAGCCAGGGTTCTCTGGCCTGACCATCAACTCCACGGGCTTTTCCGGCATCGAGCTGCTGCATGTGACAAAAATTGTCACGCTTATGGGTACGGCTCCTGCTCCGCGTCCATTGGAATGATCTGACAATCTTGACAGGCGCCTCGTACGATGAACAGCTATCTGCAAAGACCTCGGTTGTGATCTGCAACCCTCCTACCGCAAACACTCCGAAACTCAAATTCGCTACGGACAAGCGGATACCCGCAGTACATGCGAGATGGCTATGGGATTGTCTGAGCAGTAGTCGGTTGCAGTCGTATGCCGAATATCAGTTGAACACGCCAGCACCACCCCAGCCACAGAAGGCGAAGCAGAGATCTGAGCCCCAGGATAGTGCGCCTACTGCGCCGAGTCCTGAAGAGGAAAGCTTGGAGCTGCGTCAGAAGAAGCAACAGCCCACCAAGATCGTGACGAAGCCCCAGCGCCAACAGCGGCTGCAACGGCCTGGTGCTCTTGCTCTCGCTCAATCAGCAAACAACGCACCTGTATCAGCAACAGAATCGGTGGCTAACGCTAATGACGATGCTGACAATGTAACCCATGATGATGAGTCTGCCACACATGGATTGGACGGTGCAGCATCATACGCTCTCCAGGAAACCAGCGCCAACTCCACACGTCGTCCATCAACGTCTTCGAACGCTTCAAAACCATTTTCACGACCCCGGAGCTCATCCGCCGAGTCACTCATAGCTCCCGCACCCCGCAAGTCAAAGCTTGGTCAGAGCAACACTGCCCCAGATTGCGTAGTTCCTGATCCGGATCCCGACTCAGTGATTCCGGCAGGTACCGAACCGCCGGCTCCACAGGAGGCACCAAAAACAAAAGAGTCAATAAAGGAACCCAAACCAGAAGAAAAGGATTACTCTAGCATATTAGCTCAGCTCCGCGCGAACCGCAAAACTGCGCCAACGTCAGTTGATCTAGCACCCGGCAAGACCCGTCAAAGACGGCAATTAGGTCGTGCCACGTCTACGCGATCCAATGCGTCGGCTGGTGACAGCTCCGGGAATCCACCGATTGAGGAGGAGAACGAGAGCACGGTGCTTGTAGAGGAGTACCAGCCTAGTCAGGAACTAGGTTGGGACTCTCCAGGTGCGGCCAAGGCCAGAGAACAGATGATCAGAAAGCTAGGTGGTACTGTACAAGATAAGAGTGTAGCAGTTGAAGGCATTGGGGTCGTGAAGGATGTAGGAGGTGCGACAGGAAGGGCAGTCAGGAAGAGAAGGTGATAAAAACTCCTGGCTGTATCTACGTATAGTGCATGCACGAGGACTTGTCTTGGATTCTCTGCATTGCATTGCATGGCATGGCGCAAAGCATAGCGAGGTGTTTTGGTTAGGCAAAGGGCATAGTGTGGCGTTCGTAATACCATTCCAAGCATAATAGATCTTGTCATATCCCATACGTCACCTTCAACCTTCTTTCCAAGTGTCCCTTGGCTGTTATGATCTCTTCACCCAACCCATCCTCTCTTAGTCCCAGCCTCTTTCTCTGACTCCTCAGTTCTTCCTCCCCGCTGTTGCCAAATCGCTCAATTGCTGGACTAGGCACAGCATCCAACCTCGCCTCGTCCAGCGGATGACAGAAATACGCCATACTGTACCTCTCTTGTCCACCCTCGAATGTAACACGATGGACAGTAGATTTCAACATCCCATTTGTCCAGTAACACAGCAAGTCACCTATGTTTACCAAGATAGGAGGATATTGGTTAGTCGATGGGGATGGATCCACAGGCACGGCTCTCCAACCTGAAGGCGTAGACAGTTCAAGACCGGGTTGGCCCGGGAGTCGGAAGAGAAGAGTGAGACTTCCATAGTCTGAATGTGCACCTGCACGAATACTAGTTTCGCCTTGCTTGGACTCTTTTCCCTGGGATAAGGTTGGCGGGTAGTATAGCATGCGGAAGATGGTGCCGGACGGGCCAAGGGATTGGTCGTGGCGGGTGCTGAAGTAATGGGGATCGGGGATTTGTAGGGCTGTGTTGAGGAGGGAGAGTATGTTCGTGCAGAGGGCATGGCATGATGATTGGAAACGTGATATCAATTCAGACGATTCTCGGAGTGGTGAAGGTAGGGGTTGAAGGGTTGGGTTGGGAGGTCCGATGTTGAAAGCTTCCTTTGGGTCGCCTTGCTGTTGATGCTTGTATCAACACCAACATTCTCTCTATTTGTAATTCGATGAGACTTTACCTTTTGGCCTTGGGGATCTAGTGATTCGCCTTGCATCTGAACCCAACCCCGATTTATGCCACCAGCCCTTTCCGAGTGGATTGCGAATTCCGATTTGTGCTCCTTGGGGGCGGCGAAAAACCCTTTGGACTATACATATCGATGAATGAATGCGTTTCCGTCGGCATGTTTGAGACGACTCACCACCTTGAACATGTCATCGATGTCTTGTGGTGGAATGGTCACACCGTCATTCTTGATGTAGAGAAAGCCATGGGTAGAAGCTGCGTCCAGTACCTGCTGAGCGACTGTCTCGGATGGCCTGGAGATGTCGATGACTGGTATGGGGCCTTGGTCGTTTTCGGGAGGAGACATATTGGGTGACTGCGGAGGTAAGGTGCGAAGGCCTGGAGGTGGGATAGGTGAGGGGCAGAGGTGAGGCGGGATTCAGGCACTAAGAGAGCTACAGAGGGAACAGAATCAGACGTCGGATATATCTGGATGCAGGCCACTCAACTCGAAGTGCCTGATGCGTCGTCCGAATATCCACTCGGCACAACTCCGTCTACTTGTATGCCCTAATGGCTTGTACCTGAGCTAGCGCCCGGCTGATCAGGGATTCGGTAGTCGCCAAGGCGTGGAGCTGCGTCGGAGCTTCCAATTTACTGCCCCAAACCCCCGCAACCACCGCTACGACATCAGTACACGTCGTCGCTACAGTATCCACCGTAGACGACTCTCACAGCATTACTCGGAGGCGCAACTCTGCTCTTACCCACTCATTACCACCCGCCATTACTACAGACCTGGCCACCAATTCCACGCGCGACTGGCACCATGATCCGCGACTTCGTGCAATGGACGGCCGCATTCGGCGAGACGGGCGAGCTCGAACAGCTGCGCAGCTGTCGCGTAGGCATTGAAGCCGCTGAGTACCTGAACCAGCGCATCCTCAACCACCCACGCGCAAAAGAACCGCTTGTCCCAGCCCTGGGCGGCCTTCCACTGGCCCTGACACAGCACATCCAGGACGACCTAGCCCACTTCCGCAGCTTCGACATCGAGCCCTACTTTGTCTTCAGCGGGCTGGACATCACAAAACAGGAAGATCCTTTCAGGCAGAAGACGGAAGAAGCCGCGGTGAATATCAATGCCTGGACTTTGTACGACAGCCACGAGGCCGAAGCCTCAGTCGCTAAATTCGGACAATCAAGTACGGCAACCGCTGTGAGAGGGCACTGTATACCCTACTGACTGCTCTCAGCCTATGTCACGCCCGAAGACCTCTTCCGTGCGCTACAGTCTACCCTGACCGAACACAACGTTCGCTGGACCGTTGCACCCTACAGCGCATGGGCCCAAGTTAGCAGTTTCCGCATAGTCCATGGCAATGGCTAATTGTGTCTAGTTGGCATATCTCGAGAAGCACGAATATCTTCACGCCATCGCCGGATCGTCCGACATCCTCATCTTCGAGTGCGCCAAAATCATCACATCTTGGGACTTCGAATCCCGGCAGTTCAGCTTCATCCGCCGAGAGAAATGCGTGGCCGACCTGTCCAAGTTCGTCGGCGCTCCAAACATCTCAGACGACATCTTCCTCGACACATGCATACTCGCTGGCACGCCGTTCCTCCCAACCCACCCCATCCTCGATGCGCCTAACAGGGCTGAGCTGATCAAGCCGTACAGCGCTATCAAGACCATCATGAACAATGGCCAGTCGGGATACTCTGTGGTTGTCAACAATAACGATGTTCCGCCGGCAGGAAAAGAATATGTCACACGATACCAGAAAGCACGTTTGGCCGTGAAGAACCACCCCGTCTACACGGAGGAAGGAAAGGTCGAGCCCCAAAACTCCGCGTCTATGCCCAATGATGCTGGTCAATATTTGGGTCAGAGACTCCCAGATGAGATCCTCCACTACATGTCGAAAGGCCTCATCAACCCACGTATACTTCAATGGCGTACTACCTGTCAAGTATTCGAAGTTCCCCCAATGGATGGTGGCAATTCCCCAGAGTACAAGGAACTCGTCAGCTCCAAACTCATTCCGCTGCGAACACCGGTCGTCAATCTCCTTTCCAGCTCTCTGCATAACTGGTACCGACACCAATCTCTCCATCAGACACATTGGTATTCGCCAGTAGACCCTAACGGTAAACGGCCGTCCACAACCATACCTGTTGAGAAGCCATCGGAAGCACAGGCTCCTTTGATCGTTGACACCTGGAACGTAAAGGAAGCTACATTCAAGGATGTCATCGCGCAGTACAAGGTCAGTAGACCTGTAGCTCAGTCACTGAAATAGTACTAACGCTTGCAATAGGATTGCGGAACTCTCGGTGCAGCCATTCTATCGCTACAAAACACTGATTTCGTTACCAAATCGATCGCTAAGAAAGACCCTAAAAGCCCGCTTTCGTCCACTTCCGAAATACTGTACAACTCAATATGGCGATTCCTTGCTCTACGGGAGTATGTTGATACAAAGACTCATAATCTGACACCTTGGGGTAAAGTCCTAGTTTCCGTCATAGAGGGTCTGAAGGGCAAGAAGGAGCACGAAGAAGCTGCAGTGATTGCAGTCGAGCTGGTACGGATGGGCCTCTTGACCTCCGATATCGACATGTTCTCTGCGTACAATGGTGCACCGATGCGTGGTAGTAGTAAGTACAACGAGCTTGACAGGATTTTGCACAGCTGACAGCTACACAGCGAAAGATAAGAACTCGAACATGCTAGTATCTCGTGTTGCTGGCCTGGGGATTCTTCACCACCGCCCGATTGGTTTTACCGGCCCTCTTAGTCAGCATCTACTTGGTTACAACTCTATTATCAACGTTGTTCGCCAGGCGCTCCGAGATCTGGTTGAGGTAGCAGCCACACAGATGTTCTGCACTGGTTGTTGCAATCGGCACGCTGAAATACCAGTCATTGCAATGAAGTTGGTGACCTAAACTGTTACTTATCTGCGTGTTATACTAACATTTACTAGGCTACCTTTTCTACTCCCCAACAACTGTGCACTCAGTATAGCTGTCAAATCATACCTCGATGAACTTCTCAGCAACGATGCCGATCCAACTGCCCCCGAAACTAAAGCACGCGTCGTTGAAACAGCATCATCACGCTACTTCCCGCAATCACTCAACCTCCCCGACGATCTCAAGTCAGCATTCTCACTATGGGATGCTATATATGCCGGCGTCAAGTCTTCAAACAACTCGACTATACCAGAAGCGACTAAGCAGCTATGGGCAGAGACAGACAGCTGGCTCTCTGAACGGCGATAGAACCGCAAAAAGCATCCCCACATGGGTCTGGCGATGGTAAGAGATGCTCTCGAGCTAAGTCGCTACCCCATGAGAGCCCAAGAAAATCGGCTCCTCGCCGTCACGGGTGCCTTGAGAGGTATGGAGTCTTGGTACGCCGCATACGAAAGCAAAGTGGACGATATGCATGCCGTGTACAAGCTCCTCAAGACAGTCGATAAGCTGATGGATCGCCATCACGGAAGGCGGAGATGTCGTGGTGTCCATAGGCCTAGTCTATGATACCGTAGAAGATAGCAATACTCAAACTCCATCGGATTCCTCAAGTCTTGCTTTAGGCATAGAGATGATCAGGTGATATTATGCAAGAACGTTATCGTATTGAGTGAGTTCCATTCCGTCACACAGACAAAAGATATGGACAGGCTAGATCCCGGTCTCTACACAAGCCTACAGTACAGAAACGGACGCATGGTCTCCATCCTCGGTCTCCTTGTTAATGCGCGAACCTGAAATCTAACCTCTTCATTCCCTCATCCTTGGTGTTGATGACATAGTCCTCTTGCTCCCCCTTTGTCATCGCGTTCCACTGTCCTTCCCTCACCTTATTCCTCCAAATATAGAATGCCTTCACACCATAGAACAAAAACACGTTATACACACAGACACCAAGTAGTATCTTGTTCCCCCTGCGGTACAATGGTTGGTCGTCATCGCGATAAATGTTTGAAGCAATGATGTTGCCAGACTGAACAAACATATTGTAGAAAGCCGCTGAGACAGCACGCGTACGAACAGAGTTCGAGTTCTTTGCATTCCAGCTTACGAGAATAGCATGGCAGTAAGGGTAGGAAAGGAGACCGGTAAGCAGTGCATACCGGATCCAGGGGTTTGCGCTAGCAGGCAGGACAACTAGAGCAAGGAGCCAGGGGAAGATCCAAATATTTGAGAGACTGGATATCATGGACCGTTCTTTGAACTTCTCAGATAGCCAGGTGACAACTAGAAGTTGGACTGCGTAGAGAAATTGGCTGGGTATGGCGAGTAAATTAGCTTCGAACACAGAGAAGCCAAGTTGGCGAAGGATGTAGGAAAGGTAGTTCTGAGGTGGGTTCGGTGGAATGTAGGCTGTCAGGCCGATGAGGTAGAGGGGCCATTGCTCCCAGTCACAGGCTGCTTTCCAAAGGAGTGGGAGGCCGACCGCCTGCCGGTTATTCATGTCGCCTTTTGAGGGATCGTCGCGGAGGATGCGGTTCACGAGAATGTGCTCTTCGTGTTCAGTGAACCAGCCGTTCTTTCCACGAAACCAGTGTTTAGTTTGACAGGCACCGGGGGGCATGAGACCAAAGGAGAAAATGCCGATAGCAAGCGTCATGGCGCCTTCGATCAAGAACCTGTCAGTGTTAGGACCAATATGAGTCGGATAACAGTATGCGCAAAGCTTACAGGTATTGCCAGCCACCCCAGCCATTGAGTCCTCTCATCTGCAGTATACCCGCTGCAAGCAGTGATCCAAGGATATTGCAGGTACTTAAAGCAGTCCAGAACCATGCTAGGCGATACGGAAGTTCATTCGACTTGTAAAAGTATGTCAACCAGAGGACGATATCTGGGATGAAACCGCCCATCAGCAGGCCGAGGATGCACCTGATGATGAAGTAGTGGGCCTTGGTTTTCATGGCGCATTGCGCGGCACTAACAATGGACCATGTGCAAATGATCGTTGGGATCCATCTGCCGAATCTTTAGCACTTGAACCTTGATGAAGAGACGGATGAGCAAATTGAACTTACCGATCAGCACCAAGCTTCTTGCTAATTAGGCCGCTGGGTAGCTCTGCAAATAGAAAAGAAGCAAGGAAGATCTGGTCTCGTATTAATCAATGTTCTAGACACAATATCGTGCATGAAACGTACAGTTTGACCGTAATTGTAGTCATTAGTGTTCATACCTGTAGTTCGTTAGTGTTCAGTTTGTAACCTTGAGCCCAATGATACTCACCCAGATCTTTAAGCAAGTTATCCGAGATTGCTCGATTGATGTTCCTGCGATTCAACTCCATGGAAATGAACATGATCCATGCCCAGAACGCTATCCGCCAGTCGAGCTACAACCGGGATGTTAGTCTTGATGCAGTGCGTGGAATTCTCTTACTTACTCTCTTGACAAGACGTTTCTCTTCTTCGGCTTCCCATGTATAATGTGGGTTGAAACGATGCCGTCCTTCATATTCGGCATTTTCGTATATTTGACGCCAATGCTGAGCTGTGGCTGGGTCGCTGAAGGAGTGGTCTGCAGATGAACCATAATGTGGTGATACCGACTTGGAGGCTTGTGACGATCCTGAGTCTGAAGCTTGTGCAAAGGGAACCTGCTTTTCTACTGGCGTAGATGCAGCCATGGCTACGTGTAAGAGAGGGTAACGGTATTCGTCTCGTGATTGTTGTTGATCTGGCTAAGACCAATCGGTCGGTACTGATCTTTGGGTGTACCAGGAAAGGGTTATAAGAGACCAGAAATGCTCATACCAAGGTACTGCCTATACAGATGATGCAACTCTGGGTACAATTGACAACATGCGCTAAAGACAAAACCCTTGCTGCTCAGTCAAGGCTACGAAAGCCGAGAAGCTTGGTTCCAAAAGCCGTAGATAAGAAACGTGGATTGTGCGATACAAGATCATTCTCCAGTATAGCATGCTAGAATACCTATCGTCAGCGATGTACTCCAATGCAGCACAATTTCTCCACATCGTCTGAATCCGTTCACAATCCTTCAAGGATTGTGTAGGGCCACCCAATCCAAGTAGAATACAGGAAAAGAGCGCCTTGACATTACAGGTGCATACGACAAGTCCATCGTATGATAGGATGTACTTCTATACCGCCTTAAGGCAGCCGGGTGGTTCAATCATCGACTTAACGGTCGTTCATCGAACGCATACCATATGGATATTGGCACGTTCACTCTCAAAAAAATATCCTTGGCTCCGTGGGGTTGGCGCAAACCGTCATCTACCAGGGTCCAAATCAGCTCTCTGTGAGTGGAACCCGTCTTTGATAGTGAAACCCGTCTTTGATCGCCAACGGAAAGCCTGTCAAGAATGCCATGCATTCTAGCGAGATATGTTGTGAGAATGGTGGTAATGTCGTCAGTCACTGCCGGCATCGGCCCACACATAATCCTCAGTGTGAGATATTTACACTTTGGCAGATTGCTGGATCGAATTCGAGATTGGACGCGCTTCGCGTTTTTCGAGTTCCGGTGTTGACGCTGAAATCAAAAGTGAAAGAGAATGAAGGGGGCTAGGAATCCGCCACACGGAAGCCGCGTCGCGACTAGGTCCACGCGTTCTCACTTTCCGCTAGGGATGGGACCAACAGAAATACTATTTCTCTTCTGTCGCAATCGCCAAATGCTCGAGCACAAATGTTTGCAGCGCGCTATTTCCGGATCAATGTCAATGCCAGCCATACGACCCTGCCGAGCAGCACGCCATTCTACCCCCACATGTCGTAGCCTCAACCCCGCAACACCTTGTCCATTGTCGCGCACGATAGGATGTCATGATTGCAGTTGGTGAATGCAGGTATCATTACAGCTGTGCCGAGAGCGATTGCGCCATATTATCCATGCGATGATGCAACAATGCTAATCTGCAAATCGAGAAGCTGTTGTTGATCAAGCCGTCCATGAATATGTACCCGGTAGTAGCAAATGTGGCGAATTAAGAGCAGCAAATAAGTGTAGCATGGTCTACTAAGATATGCATTGTGAATGCTGCCCTAGAAGTCCATTCCAACATCGTCTATCATGGCCACGAGCACTTCTACTGCCACTTTCACTAAGAGCAATGATCCTACAGCACAGCATGGATACCCACGCGAGCCCTTGAAGTCGAAAGGTGTACTGAATGCATATAAATCGTTCGAGGTCACGCCAGTCATCGGTCGCGAGTTTGTTGATGTGAGCCTGAAGGAATGGTTGCGAGCACCAAACTCTGATGAGCTGATACGCGACCTTGCGATTACAAGCAAGCTTCACTCGACCTTTTCAAAAGCTGTAGCAGCTAACAGGATGAATAGTCTCTCAGCGTGGTGTTGTCTACTTTCGCAAGCAGGATGACTTGACCGATGAGCTTCAGAAAGAGCTGGCACAACGTCTCGGCGAGCTCTCGGGTAAGCCAGAAACATCCAAATTACATATTCACCCAGTCAGAAATGCCGGAAACCGTCTGGGGGGCAACGACAATGAGATAAGTGTCATCAGCTCAGACCTGGCGAAGCAGCTCTTCAAGGAGAGGTCACAGAGCGGCAAAAGTGGCTGGCACAGCGACATCACTTTCGAGCCAGTACCAAGCGACTATGCGATCTTAAGGATGACTCAGCTACCAAAATCTGGAGGCGGTAAGTTTCGCGAGCAGCCAGACTCCTGGCGCTGTGGCTGATCTCTCTTTAGACACTCTTTGGGCCTCTGGATATGACCTTTACGATCGCCTCTCGAAACCATACCAGAAGTTCTTCGAGTCTCTTACAGCGACATACGCGCAGCCGGATTTCAATCGTGCTGCCAAAGAAAATAACTTCCCCGTTTACACCGCTGCGCGAGGTGCACCGGAGAACACTGGCGACTCACTGAGCGCTGTTCACCCCTGCGTCCGTACGAACCCCGTCACAGGATGGAAGTCTCTCTACAGCGTCGGGCACCATGTCCAACGTATCAATGAGTTGAGTGCAGAAGAATCAAAGCGCACTATAGATTGGTTTCTACAGCTCATTACTGAAAATCACGATCTGCAGATCAGACATAGATGGCAGAATCCAAATGACGTGGCTATCTGGGACAACAGGAGCGTGTTACACACCGCGACGTATGATACCGACGGTCAGGGCCCGAGGAAGGGGTTTAGAGTTGTCAGCTTGGGCGAGCGACCATATCTGGATCCGCAAAGTATGAGTAGGCTGGAAGCGTTGAGGCTGGAGGAGGGACAGTAGCGTGCCGTGTGCGCAAGACCTGGATTGACTGAATGTTATCTTAGCTCCAATGGAAGAGATCGATGATCCCTAAGCCAACTAAGCGATACTTAAAGAAGTATAGAGCAAATCCTTCGTAGGCTGCTACAATCACGTGCCCTCACATGTCAGCTTTTGTGCAACGTGAAACTGCCCATAACACGGGACATCCTATCGCGCAACACCCACCTAAAGGCACTTTTAATCACGTGATGTCACATGCGTCTTGCTGCCTTCCCCCTAAATCCACCTGGTGGTCTATTTCATCGTCTATATAAACTCACATCTTACGCCCTATTCATCTCTTCATACTTACCAGTCAGGGTCGGCGAGCTCATGCTTTCGCATAGACCGACTTGGATCAGCTGCATGGCACCATTGTGGTACTGGTCTTGTCTGATGGCTCCGTGTGGGCGGTCTCTGGCATAATTTTTGTGGTCTCTTTCATTGGTCTATCACACCACAGTGTGAGGATTGAGGAAGGAGTGGATAATTTCGATAAGTGCATATCGTGATTGCCTTTTCAAAGTCGGTGCGTGACTCAACCCAAAATGATCTCTCTGGGTTCCGGTTTTAATGCGTCTCAGAATTCCTTATGTACGATACCCATTCCACGTCTTTCAGCGATATTTCCAACCCATCGGATCCGCATGACATTGTAGAAAGATACGCCCCCTTCATCACTTCTTGCTATTGAAGAAAGAAGCTTTCTGTTTTTCCCAAAAGACATTATCGGCCACCCGCGTTGTGCTACACGCTCTGGAAGGGAGGTTTCGGCTGCTGAGATGGCGATGAGCTCACAAAGGCTGCCGTGTGGAGGTATGTTTTCTTTAATATTGGACATCAGGGTGAAATTGCCCACCATCTCCTCGCCATTGCACAAGACCATCATCATGCGGCGTGTTTTGTCGCAAGTTACCGTACACCCGAATGTTAGTGTAGCGCATGGGGCGAAACAGTGGAGAACGGGGGCAGATGGGGTGTGTATATGGCGCTTGGCAGAACTTACTCCGGGAAGAGGGAATGAACACTTTCGCGAGGAGAGAATGTTCGTAAAGAAGTCGCCATCAGGGTGGCGGTGTCGCCTCCAACCCGTAGGGAGCTGTCTACAAGGAGAGTCTCGGAAAGCCTGGTACTCGTAGAAACCATTGAATCCTGCGTCTATCCCATCTGCTGTATCTGCCATCCGGTATTCTGCCACAGATCTCAGGGTTGCAATGGGAACCCAGTCTGACGAGTGATTCGAATCACGAAAGATGTCAGCGTAGAAAATGTACCAAGCAGACAAGCAGTCTATGATACCGTCTTTCCAGCCCATACACGACCAACTAGGTTCACCCTCACGTCTCAACACGAAGTCCTTAGGTAACCAGAGCAACGCAATGTCGAAGAAGAACTTCGGCATGCCATAGAGTATACCTTCTGGGAAAGTGGCATTCGCGATCTCTGTAGCGCCTGCAAACGCTGCCCGAGCATCTTTCTCATATGTCAGATGCCGTGAAGAAAAATTCTCCAAAAGCATGCCCCACCGCCCAAGCGATGGTATTGTAGGGATCAATGACATCATACCCATTGGTACGCCAAGATGCGGACGCTCTGCTGGCCATTGATTTTCCTCAGTGATGTGGATATCTTCTGTACATCTGAGCATATGGATGCCCTCTCGCCACTCATAGCGTCCACACATCCAGGACACGGCGCTGCCAAATATGAGGAGACGACGGGAGAACAGAGATTCTTGAAACGTCCAGCCCCTAGTCGCCCATTTCAAATCCTCTGGTTAGGCACTCCATAGATGGGAATAGGATTGGGAACTAGGGATTCGATTCTTCGAAGGACCTCCGACACCTCTTAGGCCATGATCTGCGTTGTTTGCATCGGAAGCAACAACCGTAAAGTCGGCACTTGCGTATATGCGAGCCATAGCCCGCAATGTGATTTCCATCTCTTCTGAACATGCATCTTGAACGATGGACAGACAATCCACCCACACATAACGCTCACCTAGAGCCTTGGCCAGATATATAGCATCTCGGATCGTATCAGGAAGCACTATGCCGTCTTGCTTATTGTATAGAGCCCCCAGCTGTGACAGAATATCGGTGTTTGATTTCTTCGTCTTAAACATAGGCACGGCACCCCACACATAGGAAAGAGCAACGTAGGTAATTGGTGACGAAGTGGACAGAGTGACAAGTGAGCCATTAAATACATCAACCAGTGTTAGACGATCGATGTGCTGCGCCAAGGTCCCCGGATGGTCGTCATTGCAGCAGTCGCCGTGTGTATTGCGACAAGCTCGGCGCCAGTTCCGGATGTTTTCGAGATCGATTGTGGATTCGATGGGTACAGATGACCCTCTGGCATAAGTTGAAAGCATCTCGATTAGAGACAAGGAAATTTGTAGGGCTGGGGCTAGCGATGGGCTGGACTGGTCGCTGACCAAAGACGAATAATTTTAATTAAGGTGCAAGGGTAGACGAGAAGCCATCAGAATTCCATGAAGTAAATCGAGTGCCGAGCCCAGGCGACGTTTTCGCAATGAATACTGACTGGCACATGCGGTCGTAGACTTTTTATGTCTGCGCAAAAGCGGGGTTCGTTGCATGGCCAACTTGCGGCTGATAAGCGTTAAGCGTCTCTCGTGAGTACGGACATTGATTTGTTGTTGATTCGCTGTCATGAGCTATGGCCAGCCTAAACCTTGACAGAAAAGGGCGCCGTTCAATACTTTGTATATCCGCTTGCTACGACTTCAAAAGAAGTCGAATCCGTTCCACCAGATGTATCCAAGCACGGCGGCTGCGCTGGTGGCCGCAAAAGGTAGACTCATCTCCACAACACTCCAAATCCAGAGGGTGCCAATGGGGGGCGCCGACTTCATGACATAGAAATAGCCATGCTTATTGCCCGAGTATACCAAGTAGCAGCCTGCTACGACGGAACCTCCGAAAAATGTAACATCTCGAAGTATGGGGAATCGGTATGAGAAGTCGACGTGGGTCAGGTAGACTGCTAGAAAGAATATGGGCCACGCTGTCAGTGCCCGCCACATGATCTCAGTCCAGAGTATATCCTCGCGGTATTGGCTGTATACGAGGACGTCGAGGGTGAGGTGGAGTGCTGCCATGGAGACGGAATAGAGAATCGAGTCCCCAAGGGGACCAATTGGGGGACCATCATCGGCCGAGGCAGAGGCGGATGATACTGGCACTTTGACAACTCGCGTCCTACCGTTCGCCTTGTCTAGTTCTCTCTGCCTCTCTTCAGCCAAGTCGAATAGTGTCTTGCCTGTTGGCTTGGAGAAGTCGGGGTGCTTCAGAATCATCTCGACACCGTCTTGGTCGATTTCGTTGGTGGGCTGGAAGCCAGTTGCAGCACCACTCCTAGTTGCATTGGATTCTTTGGCGCGTCGCTCTTTCCGGTTGCCGGCAGACATGGTGGTGGATGTGCAGAGGGGTCGAGTGGTAGGGTTGAGCACGTCGCGTGTTTGCTCGAGAGAATCTCCAAGATGACGTGGGTCAAAGCTCGCTCCAGGACCCCAGTGGCTTCCAATGCCGACGCGCTACCTCCCCTGGCTTGACTTTGTAGACAACAATTGCGGTTCCGACATATCCAACGTGTACCCTGTATGCCATTACTGAAGATGAGCTGGACTGTCTGGGCCTCGGTGCCCGTCCTTATTTTCGTCTTCTGGATGTACACCAGCACTCTCGGCGCTTCGTTCCCCACATTACAAAACAAACGCATACTACTGTTGATAGCGCATCCTGACGACGAGGCCATGTTCTTTGCCCCGACTTTGCTGGCATTGACGCGTCCGGAACGCGGGAATCACGTCAAGATACTGTGCTTGAGTAGCGGTATGGCATGCACATGTCCTGTGTATTCTCAGATGCGACCACTAATCTCGTACAACAGGGGATGCCGATGGTCTTGGCGAGATTCGCAAGAAAGAACTGGTCAAAAGTGGGCTGCAGCTGGGAATCGGAACTAAGGAGGATATTCTCGTTGTAGAAGACAAGTACGCACTGCAATGCAACGCTGCATGGCTGCGGCATGCTGATCATTGCCCAGGAACTTCCCAGATTCCATGACAGTAACATGGCACCCTCGTCTAATCTCCAATCTACTCACCACCGCCTTCGCTCCAAACATGACCTCAATCTCTTCCAAGGAGGCACCGCAGGCGACCGTCGACGCTATAATCACCTTTGATGCGCACGGCGTCTCCGACCACCCCAATCACAAATCGCTCCACGACGGAGCGCATACCTTTTTAAAAGCACTCATGCACCGACACAGTGGGTGGGAGTGCCCTGTCAAGCTGTACACTCTCACCACTACCTCCATATTCCGCAAATATCTTAGCTTACTGGACGCGCCTGCTACAATCATTGGCGCAATCATCCGGAAGAAGGAGCTCGGAAGCTTCCCAACTCCACTCTTGTTTGTCAGCTCGCCGGCCGGTTACAGGACTGCCCAGAGAGCCATGACCACGGCACACGAAAGCCAGATGCGCTGGTTTCGTTGGGGCTGGATTTCCCTATCGCGTTACATGGTGCTCAACGACCTGAAGAAGGAGTAGTTACCACAATGTGGAAATGGCTTTTGGAAATACGTTGTCATCATCAAAATCTATGTGGACCGGATTCCAGCTATCCCAATGAGGCAAGAAATTGCCCCATTTTAGGTGCGGCTGAGGCCAACGGACAAAGAACATCTCAGAGTAATTTCCGGACCCTGAAATCGTGTTAGATACCAAGAAAGGCAACCGGCGGAACACGGCAGTGATGCCGCGGCCAAAAGCTCCACCATTCGTTGTGCCTGAGGAACCTATGGATACGCGGGCTTGGAGGTCCGTGTGACTTGACGTGCGTCTTGCATTGCACAAGGGGCGTAAACTGCAAATGTGCTCATAGCCTGCTCACTTTCCCAACTTTAGCATGCGTTGTAGCACAGATTGCCCTTGCGACATTCATAAATATTGCGATTTCGCTTGACAAAAGGCAGAGAGAAAACACCTTGCGCTCTCAACCCGTGTTTTGCATAGCAGGCAGCAAAGGGCGTCGACTAAGAGACTCATAGCCACCTAGACCTGTCAACCGTAAGCCGGATGCAGACCTTTCGAAGAACCTCAACTGACTTATTGGGCTCAGACGACCTGATCTGAAAGGCTTGTTCAACACGCACAAGCTCTGCATACCATGGCTTCCCCGCCGATACTTCGCTTGCCTGTCGAGCTTCATCTGGAGATAGTCAGTCTTCTCGACCTAAGAAACAAAGTCAACCTGGCTTTCACGTCTCGCTATTTCAGATCCATCATTCCTCCACCAACGCACATCGAATTTCTGGCCGCCGAAGGAACCACTTGGGCAAAATCTCGACAACTCTATACTTGCAATAGCTGCATCAGCTTCAACCGCTGGAAGGACTTCGCCGATGATATGAGAAAAGGGAAGTGGTGTCGCAGTGGCACGCAGGCACATGCAAGATTCTGTCTTAAATGCGGGGTAAATGATGCGCTGTACGCCCCAGGCACACTACTTACGATCTGCAACCGGGTCCATGTGCTTTGCAGTGTCTGCAAAGTTCTCACAGACCAGATTGGTGACCGTAGTGGTAGGTGCGCTGGTTGTTCTCCGGGCCGGTCGCGCAATCACAACTGTGACTACTTTGACAACGATGATGATGACTGGAGGCTAGAACGTGCATCTGATCGAAATCATCTACGAGACGTGTACGACTGGGCTGAAGAGGGACGCCTTCACAGGTACTGAGTTCACTCTGAGTTTTGCCAACAACCATACATAAGCGGTACGCTGTTGGTCGGAGCCCAGAACAATCATATCTCTACACGACAAGCTGGAACATCCTGCGGCCACGATACTTCTCCTACATGAGATTACGATTTTCTGTGAGGAACAGCATTGCTGCAATTTCGGTGTTGTTCCTAGTCTTCACGTTTGCCGCCATGTTCGCTAGTAAACCGTTCGCAAATGCTTCATCAATATACCACGTCACGGCCGCTGTCGACGTTCACATGCGGCCCGCAACTCTTAAGGTGTTAAGCACACAATTCAGATTCAGATCTTTCGAGTTCGCAGATCGACGCTGAGACTTCCAGGAAGAAACAAAGGTACCCAAAGCACACAAGGTCGTCGCTTACGCTTCGTCTACGTTTTGAGCGCCAGATCTTGCACAAGCTTAACACTCATATACTGCAGATGCCGAACCCAGAGAAGCCCACTCCTAAATCTACATTGCCAGCTGTCTCAGGCTCTGCACCCCAACGATCTCACACTCTGAAGCGACGCATCTCTTCTGGCTTCAATACATTTATGACTGCTCTTCCCATACGGGGAACGATCCCACAACCCACTTCTGCCCTTCGATTGAGTACGGCACTTGGAGAAGACGTGGTTGTAAAGCGAGTAATCGCTGATGCCGATTCGCAGGTTATCCAACAACTGCCAATCATCCAGATACAAATTCCATCTCTCTCCGAGCCCAACCAACATTGTCCCTTTGATCTTAGTAGTTATCGTTCCTTTTCAAACGTTGAACGCCCATGCTGCAGCTTCTGCGGGATGCGACCACCAAAGTCACCTTCCAGCGTATCATACGATGAGAGTCGATCCGAAAGCGCGCTTTCTCATATGAGACCAGCTTTGGGGAAGAGAACGGACCTTACGGTCAGGAGAGAGGTAACGATTCAAAATGCGTCTCTTCCGCAGCACAGTTCTTCATCCGAAGAGGGCCCGCGTCTAGTGCCTCCAGAAATTGCAGCAAAAAGCATAGGTAACCCACCAAGGAAAGCAGCGCTACCAATTCAGCGATCTGGTGCTGTCAGTGACAGCTTGATACCGCCCTCTGACCAGTGGAGCTCGCAGTCACTAGAGAATAGAACTACTGCCGCGCGCGCAAATGTTCCTCGACGGCAGAAAAGTGCTCTTGAGCAGAACGACGTAAGGCCAATAAGCCCTAGATTGCATTATCACTATGGCTTGCCCAACTCAAAGGATTACCCTTACGTCCTAAAAAGGGAGGTATCTCAACACCTAGATGCTATACGTGCCGGTGAACCGAGCCCATTGATCGACTTTGCCTGCGCTGCTCGTCTCAAAAAGGCTTCAGATCGGATGACAGATTTCTCTGAGACGGTTTTCTATGGCCAGAAATTCTCGGCAGCTTTCGGCCCTATTCCAGAGCAACATCCATCACTGCAATCACCACGCAGTACCGTTATCGTTAAAAGAAGTCTCGACACGGGTGGTCATGTCGTGATTGAACGTCCGCTTCCTGAGCAGCAAGCTAGCATCAATGCACTGTTGCATAGCGGAGATAAGTACTCCAGACGCGCCACACATCTATCACAGCAAAATTCACTAGATTCGAGACCATCGAGTAATAATCGACGTCGAACGAGACATACAAGTTCGAGAGCAGCACCGAGTTCAAACGATCAGTCATCGGACTTTCAGGAATGGCTCAGTGACGATATCATACCAAAATTACGAGGTGGTTGTGGGGGAGACAAAAGTACGCATACGGGTGGTTGTGGTTTAATCCCCAAACAGTTGCTACTCACTTGTTACAGGCCTGGTCATGGCTATGCCACTGATTCAGACAACGACGAGAACTTGCCACCAGCGAGGACTCTGAACCTGGCTGAAATCGCGCGCGCTTCAAGGCAGGCTCATGGTATATCACGTCTCCCCAAGGGTATGTCGAGACGTGGTGGAAGCCAGGATACATCAAGGGTGGGCAAATCTGCAGCTGGCAGCGGACACGTTACTAATTCGCTGCCATCACGCACACCAAGTTTCGCAGCTACCCACTCACAGCCTCGCTCTATATTCTTCCATTTACCAACTTTCGGTCTCACCTCAACATCTGCCCTTCCTACGATTCCCCCATTCAATCGTTCTGTTTCTTTCACAGACGTTGCTATTCGACCTAGAACCCAATCACCCGTCGTCAGCCTTAGAGGTGGCACTGGCTCGCCTTCTGCTCTGCGAGGCTATGAGCGCCTCCCACCAACATTGTTCTGGCTTGCAGGTGGTCGAGGCAAACCTATTACCACTGTTAGCTGGAAGACCCAAAAGCCCAAGAAGAGAATGAACGGATTGCTTGGTATGGCTCTTCATGGACTTAACGCAGGTACCGAATACAGGAAAAAGGCAAGAACACAAGATAACGGCATGAGCACTGGGATTGGGCAAGATGTGCCAGTCGTTCCTCAAGCAAGCAAATCCGTCACGGAAGAGAAGGCGGAGAGTGCGAAGTCAGGAAAAACTTATTCCTCCATATCCTCTTCACCATTAACGAGCAATACGAAAAGCCACACTGCACAGTCCCCAAGATCGAGCAGATCCGGCAAGGTGCGTCGTGAAGCACAAAGGGAGACAACCTTGGAACCAGCACCTGGGGAAGCTGCTGCGGCTCGAGCGGAGGCAGACCATATCCCAACTAGCGCTGCGGCCACAGAAAACCAGCCCGCGAATGCCCTAAAGGAAGATGCCCCTCTGGTTGGAGATTCGCAGAGAGAGCCCATGGGCGTTGATCCCCAAGGAGAAACACTGCCTCCGAACGAAAACGTGAAGAAAGGACAAGCGGCGGCGGAAGAAGATGGCGGGGCGAATACACAGAGTGGTTGAGTGCTGAAGGGTGTGTATGTTTGACATGCTTGATACGTAAATGTATGTATACCGTAAGATATTGCTGCTGTCGTTATTAACACAGCTTCACAACATGCGATACCTCTAAGCTGCCCTTGAGTCCTTCAATGCCGTTCCAAACTACCTCTGAATGATCTTTGGGACTATATATCGTACAATCTTTCTTTCGTGACCATTTAACTCATCAGACCATGAACCTGTTCGCTGCTTAGCGTGGCTTTAGCAGCAGGTCTTTTCCCAGCCGCTCGCTTAGACATAGGCGCACTCGTCCTCCGCCCACCTGCCGCTGGCCTTGCACTTCCGCTCCCACTTCCACCACTCCGCTGTGCTTCTACAGCAGCCTCATGCTCAATCTTGCTAACCGCCCTTGTGATGGCCATGCTATATCCACCAATCCACTCAGACCAGCTCTGCTTTCCATCGCTGTTATCAACAGCAACCTCCATGCTTGAACTCATACTCCTCTTCGGCTTCGGTGTAGCGCCAGAAGACATTTTGGAAGCAGGAACTTTTGTAGTCTTGGCATTGGATTGCGGCGATGATGAAGCATTGTTTTCAGCACGCAGGGCAGCAGCAGCGCGTCGTTGTTCCAGAAAAGACCTCGCAACATTCTGCGCAGCGGAAACACCTGATTTGATGGTTTTTACGTCTTCGAGATTGACGTTCGCAGGGATGGGAATACGGTAGCTTCCTGATAGGGTGACTTGTCTGTCTGTACCAGCACTCATTCCTGAGGAGCCCCTATTGATTTCCTCGACGTACTCTGCTCCTCCACTCCTTCCTCCTCTTGTAGACGGATGATAGTGTTCCAGATCCTGTCTTGCTACCTCCAGTTCACCCTCAAGGCGCACAAGTTCTTCGTCTGCTTCTTCCTCTTCGTCATCATCATCGAGTTCCTGAACCCTAGCGTTCCCGTCGTTGACTGTGGTATTGAGCGTAGGTACCTGTGCTGAGGATGAAGCTTTTCGGCCTTTACCCCGTCGGCGAGGAGAGCGGCCTGGTCGAGAGTCAGGAATAGCACCTGCTTTGTAGAGCTCTTCAACTTTGGCTTCTAACCCTCTCACCCGAGATTTCAGTGCTTCGAGTTCAGAGGATGATGGTACATCTGATTTGTTTGTGGCCGCAGACTTTGCAGTATCTGCAGGTGCCGAAGTAGGCTCCTTGTTCAACTTCCTGGGTTTCTTTTTCTGTGTCTTCGACGCGGCTGCGGTAACCTCATCGGTACTTGGTGCAACTACAGCCTTTTTGGATGATGATGCTGAAACCTTTGCTGAGGAATCTTTTGGTAAAACCACTCCTCCTGCTGACCCCGCTCTTCCCTGTTCAGATTGGCTTGGTGTAGCGGCTTTCCTGGATCGTGCCTGCTTGATCGGCGTTGCAGGTATTGCGTTGGGTTCTGGCGATGATGACTTGACTGCCATTGTATCAAACAGATTACTTCTCTTCGAGCATGTAAAGTCCTGATACCAATTGTTTAATACTATGCTGTCGAGGGTAAGCTTGTGCTGGATCCTTCTCTACATAGAATTTAGGGCGATGGACGTTGGACTCGTAGCTAAATTAATTAGAAGAAAGCACTATATGCATTGCAAGATATGAAAAGAAAAGTGATAGCGTAGGTCAATCGACGCCAAAGCAAGATATCGAAGTTGGACACAAGCTGAGCACATCTGACGTATTGTGGCGCGCGTACCGGGATCCTGCATCCTGAACCCTGCCCGCGGCACGTCAACGGCGATCAGCTTCGCGTTAGCATGGCTAGACTTTTTGGGTTCCGGGCCTTACGCTCTTCGATCTACCCTATTTCATGGGAAGACTGAATACCCTTCAGTAAGTCTTGAGACTTTATTGGCCTGCCGCATTAAAAAGCACGGGCTTTCGGAGATGCGACATTCCTGCCGGACTCATCAGAATTGCGGATTTAGATCATAGTATGAAGCCACATCATCGAGACATTGCATCAAACATTAGAGTATAGATACTTTCAAAATTCTTGTTGCAGCTAAATACATGCTTGTGCATATAACACCTCTAGTCCAGTAGCACAGATCCGTCAAAGAAAGCTTGGCTGAACCATAATAACAGACAAAGTTGCGAGAGGAGATGATCAAAACTATGGCATATCCTATGTTTACCGAGTCCGGAAGGTCTAGGAGGAAGACCAATACTTTTGGAGACGAGCAGCGCCAAGGAACGGCATCGTAATGGGCATGCAGAAAGAAGCTCATGAAAGGTTCCAAGTCCAGCTACGGACGCCTTGCAACTCACGCTCGGATGAACAGGGCCGTAGAAAGGGCGATGATTGAGCAGTAAAGCAGTAACATCGGAAGACCGTCGAATGAAAACAGCTGTGACAAACAGCACAGGCCCAGAAATACAAGGGACACCACCACGCCGTCAAATATGCGTTGCGATCATCCTGGATACAGCGTCAGGGCGAAGTTTAGCCAATAGGTACGCCCACCTAAGACGCAATGGCACGAGCCGGTGCACCTCCACCTCCCCGACGGTTGTTCTTCACGTTCTTGGTGGGCTTCGTGACAGTGCTCCAGCCGTCATCGTCCATAGCCTCGGTAGTGGTGCCCTCAGGTGCCGCAGGCGTGCTAGACTTTCGCCTCCATGAACCCTGTTCAGCCTTTGGTGGGTCGCGAGTGATTTCCTGCGGCTTAACGTCCTTGTCGTGTACAATCTCTCCTTCAGCATCCTCATCTTGGCCAGCAGAGTTGCCCTCATCAACCCGTTGTAGAATCTCGAAGTTGGATTTGGGCTTCTCCTCGGTACCATTCTCCTCTTTCTTCGTTGGCGTTGGCTGCGCCGAGTCCTTGGGCGCCGGTTTCTCTGCAGCTTCCTTAGCCTTTTTCTCTTCGCGAGCCTTGTCATCCGCCTCCTTCTTCTGGCGTATAGCTAACTGCCTCTTCTCTTCAATCTCTTTCTCACGAGCAGCGGTGTCGATGGGACGTGCAGCACCGAATGGGTTGGGCTTATCTGAAGGGGTGGAGACCTCCTGAGCTGCTGGAGCCTCGGAGACTGTTCGCTTGGCCAGATTCAAGCGGGGGCGACTGGCTGGCGCAGCAGGCTGCGGCGCTGGCGATGATGGTGTGCTAGCATCGGGTGTAGATATGGGTGACTTGACAGCAGGTGCGTCGGGGCGCATCTTGGACCGCCACTGGTTGTCGGCGTCTGCAGCAGTGGGCTGTCTCTCGTACTGTGGTCGCTCCTGGAACTCACGGCGCGGCCCACGAGAGCCTTCGGTGCCCTGACCCTCACCCCAGGCTGGGGACTGCCTGCGTCCCTCACGGGGTCCTCCTTCAAAGCCACCTCGTGCGCGGCCACCTTCGCTGGGAGCAGGAGCAGCGGCTGGCGAAAGAGGTCCTCGGCGCTCCCAGTTGCCAAAGTCACGGGGCTTGCCGTCGCCCTCGAATGGAGGTGGGCGGCGACGTTCGCCCCGCTCGCTACCGGCGTCAGATGCTGCGTCGAAGGCACGGTCACGGCCTGCGCCGAAGCCGCCTCGTCCAGAGCTGCTGCGCTGGCCAGGGAGATCGGGAAGGGGTCCCTTTCGGGTCCAGTCTGAGATGTCTCGGGCTTCGGGGCGGTCCTTTGCTGCAATAATGTCAATTGTTTTCCGCGCGCGTATGAGGGGAAAATAACGTACGTGGTTCAGCAACGCTGACACGAATATTCCTGCCCTGGAAAGATGTGCCAGACAGGTCGAGAGCCTTCTTCAGTCCATCGACACTGCCAAATTCGACGTATCCAAAACCCTTGGGCTTGCGGTCTAGTTTGTCCTCGACAATACGTACGTTGGTCACCTCGCAGTCGGCAAAGAAGTCGGTTACGTCACCCTCGGTGGCATCGAAAGAGAGGTTGCCCAAGTGAGCGGTGTACGGGGGCTTGGAGGGCATGGGGAGGGCCTCGCGAGTCGCGAATCCACGGTCGGCTGTAAGAGTGTTAGCATATGCAAAGTCAGGTAGAGGATTGCTTCTCACCGAAGCTGCCAGCGCGGTCAGCACCGAAGCCGCTGCCGCCGCCAGAGCCAAAGGTGGGCCTATCACCTCCGTAGCCAGAACTTCTGCCGGCACCTGCAAATGTGTAAGTCTACCGTGGGTTGCATGTTTGCGCTGCGACTGTTGGTGGGGTATATTTACCAACTCCTGCAGATGTTAGCACGGGAACTGGTCCAGAAGCAGTATGCGTCCAACTCACCAGGCATGGGCGCGTCCTCCATCTCATCGGCCCATGATCCTAGCGCTGCGTTCTGTCAGTCGTCTGCGCCCTCGAGGGCCAGTGGGCGGGGCATACATTGGTCTGCTAGGAAGTCTCCCAGGGCCATCTTCTGCTGTTCCTTCTTCTTGGGCGCTGCAAACCACCTGTCAGCCATGGTCGTCTTGTTTTGAGCGCGGTACAGAGCGGGGCAAAAAAGCCGGCTCGAGTGACGCCTGCAATTTGCGCAACTTACCCATGATTGCGGTTCTGCAGACTTGGCGCGTACAAATTCCGCACGCTGTCTGGTTTGGGGTTCGAAGAGCGTGTGTTACTCTCGGTTTGGGTTGCAGGTGGTTGCGGGGTCTGTCGTTGTTTCGTGTGTGGGGTGAGTTCTTCTTTCCCGAACGGAAATCTTAAGCTGTGCGTCCGTTGGGCCTCGCTTAGTCATCGCATTTCTTTTGCAACCACGGCATTACGAACGCCGAGCCCTGGATTGCCTTTACCCGAAACTGATGCACCACTCTCGCACGCCAGACCGCATCAATGAAAGAGCGATGAAACCCAATTATGACCCAGAGCAGGTCACCCAGCCCCTCGAGGTTGCCAAGCAAGCAGCATTGGTCGGCGGAGCCTCAGGTACGCACATGGTCCTTTCATCATTCTTCTCTCTGTTACACTTCTGCTTCAATTCACGCCTGCATATGGTCGAGCTAATGCCCTTCACTTACTATGCTTTCGTCTGACATGATTCAGCAATCCCCGGTACTGTGATTGGTGCCTTGTACGGCACAGTCCGCACACAAACTCCTGTTCTCTTCTCTATTGTCTCGGGGGCACAGTGGTTCGCCATTGGCAGCACATTCTGGAGTATACGCACGTCTGTTCTCAACCACGCTGGCCTGATCAACTGGTGGAACGTCACTCGAGGTGCGCCTTCTTACCCGCGCAATGACCTTAACCCGACTACTTCCGAAAAGGTTCGTGCGTCAGCCATTGCTGGTGCCCTGACTGGCTTCAACCTTGGGCTTTTATTTCGTGGCCCTCGGAATGTTATCCCAGGTACCATCATGTTCACCTTGTTCGGCTGGGGAGGTCAGCATGGGTACAACTATCTCGATGCCAGGAATTCTAGCGAACTCCGGGAACAGGCCGAGCTGAGAGCAAGGGGTGAAGACAAGCCCAAAGAAAACTTCATGCAAAAGATCGCAAAGAGCAAGTGGAGTCCCATGCAGGTCTTGACTGATGACGACTACGAGAACATGATGCAGGAAAAGCTTCTGCGGGTCGAAGCCCAGATTGCGGTAATCGACGACAAGATTGATGCATTTAGAAAGCAGGCGCTCGACTTGGAAGCGCAGCGCAAGATAAAGGAGATGCAAGAGCAGGGTCAAAATTCCGAGTGAGAGCATAACTGATTGCCCATGAACGTTGTGGAATTGAGATCTGGATCACATTCTGTAAGATATTTTGCCGGTCTCTTTTATGTGGGAAACTCACGTGTCGATCTCTTTTCATTGCACAATAAGTGTTCTGTTTTGAAGGAGCAACAGCAGCATCGTTGTATAAAGCCACCTGCTAAGCAGTTTGCACAACCTATCTTATCCTATCAAAAATTGTCTCATTCGCCTTTCTCTTTGCTATCTTTGACTCCTGTTGACCAAAATCTTCAAGTGTAAGCTCTACAAAATGATTTCGCGTTTTGCTATGGATCGCTGTCTTTGACGTACGGCCTTGGTACGAAGAGAAGTCGTCCCTCCAAGTCAGGCTATATGCCAGCCTGATTACCTTAAAGGCTTTCTGGCTGATCTTGAGTACGTTAACAGTGCTCACGTATCGCCATGGCTATTTGAACAACCGTCGTAGCCTCAATACTCTCTTGGAAAATACTCAATGATAATATGCCCAAGTCTTGAGCCACCACCATCAAGCAATACAGAAGCCTCACCCGGGCTCGTCATCACTCCCGTCACCATCGTTTTCGCTTCGCGACAGCGCTTCGACCCTCCAACATCGCAAGGAGACTGGAATACCCGACTCCGCTGCAAGCTCAGGCTCCGTGCTCCCTTTCACCAAACCCGCCTTCACCCCGCCTTGAGTTCCATCCCACACTCCCAACCTTCTCTCCATATATGGGCAATTCTAATCCGCGTTATTCCATCAGCAAGCCACTTTGGATGAGTTTCGCAAGGAACGACCAAGAAATGGAGTCCGCAACCACAATATTAACGACTCCAAGGAACCTTGGTTAATCGTTCCATACCGAAGCTCACCTAAGGTCGCTTGTTCGAGCCGCTCTGCCTCCAGTAACATCCAGACACTAGGTGGATACAACAGAGATTAATGTTTGGAAACGAAAAACAGCCCTTCAATGGGTTAGTTAGACGTCGCCTTATCCCGCTTAATGGGATAAGGTGCTTTTTAGCTCCTATTCTTTCTTTCTATGCAATTTATTTTTCTCTATATAGTTCTGCTCTATCCTATACAATTCTCTACTTAGCTAACTAAAGAAGAAGAGCTACGCAAACTACTCTTATCCTATCTTTAGTACACACTTATGTCTGTAAGTACAATCTTGCCTTCCTTGTACAGCTTCCCGCACCACAGGATATCACAAGCGATAGTTCTTCTTAATTGTATAATAAGTTAATATACAATACTTACTAAACTTACAGTTTCTGTAACAACTAAAAAGAGGAAGGGAAGTGCAAAAAGGTGTTAAAGACAGATTCTCGCAAGCAGAAACGGCAGTTTGGGGAAGGAACGGGACACAAAGATGCAGAGATGAATAATCTTGCGCCGCCGCTTTGAGCCTTATTCTATGTTTTTCACTGTATTATCTACTGTTTGACATCGATTGGCTTACCGCCCTGTTCTCCACTCTTCAAACAACTCTCAAGAATCTCCAGATCTTTCAATGCCTCCTCAGGACTCTGCATCTCGTTCCTCTTTCCTTGTTCCAGGCTCTTCGCCCATGCCTTGATTTCCTGGTTCACGCCATTGCCTTCGTCTGGGAAATCTCTTGTCTCCGGATCCTTCCCGTCTTTGGTGATTGTGACTTTGCCACGAGCACAGTGTACTGAGCCCTTTTCGCATGCAACGAGATATTCAGAGCCTGTATCGGTCGTGCCAAAAGAGATAGACAGGGTACCAGACGAGCCATTGTCGAGCTGCATAGTGGCATTGAGAGTGTCAATTGGTGGAAGATGTTCCTGAAGCTGTGCTGTGAATGCGCTGACCCTCTTGATCTTCTGTTTACCACCTTGGAGCAGAAGACGAGTGGCAGCTACGAAATGCACGCCGCCGTCGAGCACGAAACCGCCTTGGTAGTCCGGCTTCTTACGCCACTCTGTCTCATAGTACTTGCTACCTGCCTGTACCATAGCCGCAACACGCACGCGGAAGGTAAGAATACGGCCCAGAGACGCAACCTGCTCTGAACCCCAGACGTAGGAGTCGATGAATCGGAAGTTTTCTGCCACGGTGTAGGTCGCAGAGGTATTAGAAGAGTTTTGGGTCCATGCAAGTAAATCTTGAGCAGTGGCTACGTCCTTCGCTATAGGCTTCTCTGCGAACACATGTTTTCCTGCGGCGAGGGCTTTCTTGATGTAGTCTGGTTGGGCCAGGATTGGTAGTCTGAATTGTACTGTGTAAGCAGATCAAATTCTATGCTCCGACAAGTGGTATACGCACGCGATAACTACCCCTTTTACATCGTCCCTCTTCAGTAAATCTTCGAATTTCTTGCCATCTTGGTCATCGCTGTAGAGCTCCACGTCAGACAGCTTCTCGGACAGGATTTTTGCCGATTTGAGTGACCGCGAGTAAACTGCTTTCAGACTCAATGATGGAGTATCTTGGATAGCGGGCAAGTGTTCTTCCTTGGCGAAGATGCCACTGCCGATGATAGCAATGCCGATGGCCATGATGTTGAGGACTCTGGGAGTTGATGGCACGGGGAGCTCTCAACGATTTCGAACAGCTCACCTTCCTCAACATATATCTTCCAGTGAACGGCTGTACTGCGGTTAAATGGCAATTGAAGTGGAGGGTGTAGCATTTTCTTCCAATAGCAACTACGCCATGACCCGTCGCGGGGTACATGTCTCTGCCCCACGATGGCGATGACGTCGGGCACCATACTGAATAGAGCCAAGGGCGATAGATCCACGGGTTCCCTACCTCGTCACATTCGACTCTCTCATCAACATCAACTTCTAACGACTTTCGAAGTGTATTCGCCTAGAGTCGCAGCATGATCGGCGCGGTGTTAATGCAAGATACGTCGCGCATTGGACACGCGATCATCACATATCTTGTCTTCGGCAGTTGAGGCGAAACGCGTAGAGCTCTTTACCCACGCACGAACGCGCAAGCTATGCTGACAAAAGTTACAGGCTACCCTGAAATCATGAGGGTCTTCGTAATGTTTGTCAAGTATCTATGCACTCCACTTACCGGCTGAGATGGACTGAACTCGTAACTTGGGGACAACTGTATCATTAATTCCGCGATCGAACACTGCGTACATGCCACTGGATTCGCCTATCAAGCTCCAAGCTGCAATAAGATAAAGTGTCTTTAAAACACCACAAGCTGGTGTGCTGCAAGTGGGTGGAAATGCTAACCGCATTGCTTTTGACAAGATGTCGATGTTTCTAAAGTATCTTGCGGTGCTTAGCATGAGTCCACAAGCAACAAGCAGCGACTATGCTGTAAATATGCTCTTAGCCAAGTCCGATTACTATGTCCGGTACCCGATACCGTATTTTCGATTGTCCGTTGTGATTAGCAATTGGTCTTTTGTATCGTCGGAAAGTTCCGACACACTGAAACATGCTGTGTTGGACATCGCGCCCGACCAGGCCTGGTCATGCTTCGGCAGTCGCCCCATGTAAGGCGTCGATGAACAGGCATGGTTGGTATAGGGCTTTGTCCCGAGTGCTTCAGCGGGGTTTCGATAGTATCAGGCTACCCTTGATGCCTCTGATGTGGTGCCTGAGCGATGTGGTGATAAAAAGGTTGACCCAAAGGACTCCTCATCCAGAGCTGGCCTCATCGTTCTACTGTCGCTTGCTGATCCCTGTACATTCTTCATCCTCTCTTCTTGAACGCAGCGCGTTCGACAAGACTGCCGGCAGTCTGTTCCAATCTTCCAACTCTTATTGCTATTCTTACTCCTTCACACAAGCAATCATATTGTTACCAAGATGGGTTTCGGTATTCTGGAAGATCGCCACATGGCCGCTCCTCCGGGTACGTCCACTATCAACGAATCTGGGCCTACTCTAGACTCTAAGATAGACTCGAGCGAACTCAAACGCGATGGCGACATTATTCTGCAGCCACAACCTTCAAGCAGCCCCAATGACCCGCTCAACTGGTCACCTAGAAGGAAAGAGTGTATAATGATTCTTCTCGCTTTTAGTTCAGGTGTAACTACATCCCTTGGACCGATGGTGACGCCTGCGCTTCCCCTCATTGCTATGAAATACAATGTCAACATCGACATGGTAGCGAGTCTTGTCATCGGATTCCTTGCGTTCTGGATCGGGTTCACTACATTCTTCACAGCTGCTGGAGCCAATATTTGGGGCAAGCGTCCATTCTTCATCATATCTACCATTATCCTTCTTGCAACAAATGTCTGGGGTTTCTTCACAAGGGTGCGTACTAGAAGACGAGCTAGATCGTTCTCCATTGACGAGTAGTAGTCCTTCATCTCTCTCGCTGTCATGCGAGTTGTTCAGGGTATCGCCTCAGCACCTCTCGAGACACTTGTTACCTCCACAGTCTCCGATATGTACTTTGTGCACCAGCGCGGTACACGTATCGCAGTTTGGGGCTGTATGCTGGCGTCTGGCGTTCTTCTTGGGTATGTATATCTGTATCCCGTTCTTTGAGTGAATGTACTGATCCATAACCAGACAAACAATCGCAGGTGCCATCATCCAGAACATCTCTTTCGAAGCGACTTTTGGTATCTCCGCTTTGATATTTATCCCCATCTTATTCGGCATGTACTTCTTCGTCGTTGAGACCACTTACTATGGCCCCCGGCCTACCATGGACAAGCTCGGAATTGATGAGAAACACAAGTCTGTTTTCGAGCTCGAAGACGACAGGGAGCCTTATAGAAGCCAACTGGCAATTTTCCGTGGCCGCTTATCACAAGAGTCGTTCTGGAAGAACGCCTGGAAGCCAGTGCCACTTATTGCTTTCCCGGCAGTACTCTTCAGTACAATCGTTTACGGATCTTACTTTGTATGTCAAGTTTTCAGATTGCTCGCAAAGCATGTACTGATTCTGTTCTCAGACCTGGCTGCTTACTATCTCCGTCCTCTCCGTCAATATCTTCTCTGCACCACCGTACTCGCTGAACCCGGCACAAGTCGGTCTTACTAACCTGCCTCTCCTTGTCATCGCACTGATCGGCTCACCTCTCTCTGGCTGGACAGCCGACGCCCTCGCCAAATTCATGGCACGTCGCAATCACGGCGTTTTCGAACCGGAATTCCGTCTGACGCTTATGATCCCCGCGACCATCTTCGCTACAATTGGCTTTCTGGGCTTCGGCATGAGCGTCTCAGCTGGCTATCCCATTGTCTGGCCCTTGGTCTTCATGTCCATCCACTCGCTTTCCGTACCGTTCGCCTCAACAGCCAGTCTGACCTATGTAATCGATTGCCATCCCAAAGACGCGAACCAGGCTTTTGTGACAATCAATTTTACAAAAGCAGTGTTTACTTTCATCGCGACAACATATGCTAACGGCATCATGGCGAATATTGGGCCTCGCGCGGTCTTTGATGGAATCACCGTTATCAATCTGGGGATCTGCGCGCTTACTGTTCCAGCGTACATGTTCGGAAAGAGGTTTAGAAGTTTGGTTGCGCGAAGCTCGTTTGGTAAGAAGCTATCAGGCTAGAGGTTGGGAGGCGTGAGTCATTATTATGGCGACAGAGACATGGCTCTGAAGAGATGGCTATGCAAGGCGCATATTTATGGATACGCACAGTCGTTATAGGCTTGAAAATTACATTCGCAATGAGTTACGATATGAAGGCTAAGCTCCATACCACCTGGACATGTTAAGCCATGATGAGTCGATCAAAGAACAAGGCAGGTGATGAGGATACGTGTCGAGACCTGAGAGATTCATGGTGTACTTCCACCTAGTGTGTATCAAAGAGAGCTACACGCTGTAATGACAAAACAACAGTAGGTGAATATCTTGAATTGAAGGAGATTCGTGGGTATCGTTGATCTATAATGATGGGCATCACCCTGTGGCGCCCAAAACGCCGTTTACGACTTTTGCAGTGCTCTTCGCAACCATGTCAGATATCTCCTGCCGCGAACGGATGCGCACAAACTGCGTCGCATGATGTTCTAGCACGAAATTTCTACCTCTAAGATGCCTATAAATAACATCGCTGTCTTCCTCGTCGCGCAACTGACAACCGGTGTCATAATGCGCGGCACACACCCCTCGGCTCAGGTTTCAGCAAACTTCATCTGCATGATGCATGCGAAGCTGGCATCTCAGCGAATGCGCTGAGCTTGACTTGGTGATTCGTAGATATGGTGCACTAGCACAGCCTTTGTTTACCCGGAAAGGACAATACATTGATGCGCATCAGTTTGTCACTCTCCGTGCACTGCCTTGAGCCTCTCTAGCACTGAGTCTTTGCGATAACATCTGCGCCATGGACTGTGAAGCATTCGAGGAGGAGGTCGTGTATCGCGGGCTCAACGGTGATGTTAGACTGGCTCTCCTCGATGTCGAAACGGTGATGGGCGATGGCGTAGATGCAGCGTTCTTAAGGAAAACACGCGCAGGTGGGAATTGGCTGACTGGCGGCATTGTGGTTGTGTAGGTAAAGTTGTTGGTTGACTTGTTCGTATAGTATCGACTGTTAGACGACGAATATAGGTGGTGACAGTATTATGGTGTTAGAAGCGGGGCTTGTTGATCGATGTCGATGATATAGTAGTAAGACGTAGAGTTATACAGTCCGTGATGCCTCCTTCTAGTCGATGGATCGTCCTTTAAAAGCCTCATTACCAGCAGCTGCCGACCATCTTATATCCCTCACCCAGCCCAATTTGACTCACCTTGCTAGGCCCAAACTAAGCCTCTACCCTCGGAGTCACAAGCAAGTCGCCCAACCCACCCATCCACGCAACCATCTAGCGCGCGTGCCCCAAACTCCGCCCGCGCCATGACATGTGAAGCCTTTTCCGTTTCGAGCCAAGATCACCCCACGACATCGTGAGCATCACGTCTTGCACATGCGGATCCGGACACCATCGGCGGATAATTCTCGTTGGACAGAGACAAATACGATCAAGGCAGTCTAAACGTTATGCACGCGATCGTGGGTTACTCCACGCCCAGTAGCTCCCGTTACCCCGGATGGTTTTCCGTGTGCGACTACTGTGCAACAGTCACTGCGAGCCGACCCTCCACTCCAAACGACCGGAAAAGCAAAAAGCAAAAGGCCCGAGAGTCGCAGTCGCATGCACATGTTGTGCATGTACCTGTAGCTTACGCACCTACACATGTCGAGCAGCAGCCAAGGCGCCCAGGTGTGTGGTGGCAGTTGATGCGTGTTTGAACTTTGTATGGTAATGGTGTGCGTGCTTGTTTGGAGACGGAAGGCTGCGACACGTCATGCACGCAGCCTAAAGTGCGGGGTGGGCTTCCGCCGCGCTCTTGTAAAACAATGTGCTAGGTTAAATGGCTTCTAGTAGGCTTCCACCCAGAGTTTTGTGAACTTCAGCCTAAGACGGAGGATGATGCAAGGTAGATCTCCGAGGTCGGGGAAATATCTATCTATCTTGATACGAGAGATGCTATTATGAGCTGAGTAAGTTCTCAAATCACATGCAGGACACATGCGACGAGATCGCGATGCGGGGCAGCTGTTAGATCACAAACAGGCTGAGCGAACGGTGTGGGATCTGCTCTACAACATTCCTTTTGCGCCTTGCACTAGCGTGGAGATAGAGAGGTGTAGGTCACGGCGCAATACATGTGTACTGCGGATGCAACTGCAGAGCAATGCATATGAGAAGCGAGTGTTGCGTCCGCGGGTATGAGGGCGCGAGAGTTATCTGTGAGCTCAGCGTCTCGTCATTCTTGCGGTGTAGCAGGTGTTTTGCTGGCTGCATCCACGACGCATGCTGAAGTGTATGGTGAACGATTCGATGTCAGAAGAATAGTGACATTTCTTTTTCCTAGTATACAAGACCGGCTAGCTTTTAGACGTCGCAATATAGTACATCCAAATCGTTATCCAAGCCTCCTGCGTACAACACAGTGACGTATCTTCCAACGTCCAACTGCGTTCGAGTCTAGGATATGCAAGCATACCCACATCCCGCGCATGCTAACATGTTGTTCATATTACCCAGTTGTCCCAACAGATTTGACCTTGAACTCAGGGTGTCTAAGCTCGGGGCTTCGCACCGCTGCGGACGCGCTTGGCTTCTGGGCGCTGGAGGTGGGAGGCGGGGATCCAGCTCTCATCGTAGGCCTTTGCACCTGAAGTAACAGCGGGGCCATCAGCGCCGACGACAGCAACCTGGTCGGCAGGATCAACCTTCTTGCTCTGGCCTGAGGACATCTTAGCGCGCTCGCCACCCTTGCCGCGGCCCTTCTTCTGGGGAAAGAAGGTAGAGATCCAGGTGTTGTAGACAAAGTAGACAGTTCCACCGAATGCGCCGAGGAGAACGAGGTATAGGAAGATACTGGAGCAAAGAAGTAAGTACACGTGCTGAAAACAACAGGGCGCTCCACGAGCGTGCGCAGGGTAAAGGGTGCCTTGGTACATACATCTGAGGGTCGAAGAAGCTGGTAGGTGCCTCAACAATGCTGACAGTCTCGTTGTAGACCGGAACGGTGATGAGATTATTCTTGCTATCCTTCAGCACAGTCACGAGCTGAAGACGAAGATTCTGAGGGTGCATTTCTGTCGTGAAGCTGTAAGGAATTGTCTCGTTGGCGCCAGCAGGAATTTGGATCGAGTAGCGCTGGCGGGTGAGGTTGCGAAGGATCTGGGATTGTCCTGCAACTTCCTGGATCAGCGAGCCACCGACAATGGTGACGCCGACAGGAGCGGGCTCATTGTTGACCACGGACAGACGCGCCTGCGTGGGCTGGCCGTTGATGAGCTTGACGCCAAAGATCTCAGACTGGGGGAAGGACACGGAGACGGCGACATTGAGGTTGGGAGTTTGAGGCTCGTCGACTGCTTGCTTCTCAGCCTAAGAGTACAACTGTTAGCCATCTGATGTCATGCTGCGTCAGGAAGTTCCGAGCTTACTGCGGGCTCAGCAATGGTGCCGAGAGCTCGTAGGGAGAGCAAGAGTAGAGATGAAAACTTCCAATTGACCATGATGAAGGCGAACCAAGACGATGAGATGGGAGAAGAAGAGGAGAGAGGGCGTGTGGGAACAGATGGGGTAATTCGAACGTGGCTTCTGGGAAGTGACGTCCGGGCGCAGCTTCCTCTTGGCGTCGGAGCACGGAACCAGGGACACCTCGCCTTCACCACCTCACGCGACAGTCTGATGTTACCGACCCCCTGTGTGCTGCATCTTGTTGCGTACTGCTATTTGTATGACCATGATCTATTGCTTCAATGCTCTCACTGGCCGCCTCTCCCAACATAGACTCGTCCAATTCTACGCGCCGGGTCGTGTTACACATGGCATGGCATCCACGCCGCAATTGTGGCTCGTTCAATTACAAAGGCAGCAGCGACCATTCATCTGCAGCTTGATATGCTTATTTGCTCTGATCGCACATACGCCGCTGCGCGTCGAGTAGCTTCCCGCCGGCATTGCCCATCGCGCCTGTTTGCATTACACTATAAAATGGCAGACTGACATTTTCTCTCATCTTCATTGCCTCAGGTCATTGTGCAGTAACTCACCATCACCAACGATTGCCTATTTGAGCCTGCACTTTCCCTGTGAACCCTGGAAGGAGCGCTCAACTGTTCCCACAACCTCTTTTTCCTCACTCTAATTCCTCTCCTCTCGCCCGTCATATGCGAGAACCTCCATCAGCTCTGCTCTACAAAGCTTCCGCTCAATCCGGTGTCTTTCTTCTGGGCACTCGCCAGTCGCTATTAGCTCAAATTTGGCCACTTGCCTTCCGAAATGCCGCCTTCGCTCAATGGCCATGGGCCTGCTAGCCCTGCTTCATTTGGCTTCTCAGACGCTGACCTAACAGCCTTCACCAGGCGTTTCGAACATTTTCAACAGTTTGAAGAGGAGAAGACGCAGTTCTTGGCAGTAGGTTTGACAGGAAATACGTCTGTCTACCCGAGGTGAACACTGACTCATCCTAAAGGAGATTGTTACTCGTTACGAATACCTGTATCAGCAGTACCAGGCATTAGCAATCGAACACGAACGCGACCGCGTATGGATTACTGCATGGAAAAACGAGAAGATGCAGTACGAAAATAAGCACAATCACATGCTGCGAGAGATGGTAATTCCACCCCAATACACATCCTCGACAACGACTCCAGCAGCAAGCAAGGCAACTGGCTACTTGAGTATGGAGAAGAAGCTGAAACTAAGAAAACAGTCCGATAATCCATTCATCACAGTACTCATTGACGGCGACGGCATGATTGTAGGCCTCTTCGGCCTGCGCTTTGATGACAGGTTTGCTAACCAAAAGCCTAGTTTTGTGACAAATATCTTGGTGACGGTGAACAAGGTGGCCGTCGCGCTGCTTTAGATCTCTCCGCTGCTGTCCAAGAATACGTTGACAACGAATGTAACGATATCCCCTACGGAGCCCGTATCGTCTGCCGCATCTATGCGAACGTGCGGGGCCTCGGCGACGTGCTTGTACGCAAAGGAGTCTACCAAGATCCCTCGGAGTTTGAAAAGTTTGTGCGCGGCTTTACACGGGGCAGAGCGCTATTTGACTTCATCGATGTTGGCGCAGGAAAAGATCGTGCTGACGAAAAGATCATAGGTGAGAGACTCCGAAGTTGCTGCTCTCAATAAATCTGAGCAAAACCTGCAGCCCATACTAACCTTCGCAGAATCATGCAAGCTATACAGCCAGGACTATCATTGCCGTCGGGTTCTCTTCGGTTGCTCGCACGACAACGGTTACGCGCGAATGCTAGAGGAATGCTCTGATCGTCCTGGGCTGGTCAACAAGATCATTCTTCTCGAAGGCGTCCCGTTTGAGAAGGAGCTCGTAAACTTGCCATATGACACGAAGAAATTTCCTGGGATCTTCCGCGATAAAAAGATCGTGTTTTGGGGGGCTCCTATATATAGTGGCGGTCTTCCACCAGCATTTATTCCTGCCCGCAGGGTCGATTCGAATGACAGCTCGAAGGCATCTGTATCATCGACAGGCCTCCCTAGCCGGTTCCCACCTCCAGCAAAATCTCCAGTCATGGATAGCCCTCTGCCGAGCCGGGCTACGATGATGGGACTGCCTAGAACGCCATCAACATCGACACTGGCCTCGGACGGCATGATTACAGCAACCAAGCCAGTGCTTCCGATGAACTGGGCTGCCAAGGTCTCTGCTCCACCGCCTCCTGTCAACCACTCATCTCCCACATACAAGCCGGCTAATCGCGAGGAAGTCATTGCTCGTAACCGCGCCGGTTAACGCATCGACCCACCATGTAAGGACTACGACAAGATCGAAGTGGACCGCGTCAAGAAGATGAAGATGTGCAACGTCCATTTCCTCCGGAACGAGTGCCCTTACGAAAAGAACTGTACGCACCTCCACGCCTACAAGCCCACTGAAAGCGAGGTGGCTACCCTCCGTCTCGTCGCTCGCATGGCACCTTGCAGCAACGGTAGCGGTTGCCAGGTAAGTTGGAGCTGTACAAAATTCATGTGAGATATGCAACTGACCTTGTGTTTTCATCTCTACAGGATATTAGGTGTATCTATGGCCACTGTTGCCCGGCGCCCCATAAAACCCATCATGTCAAGGGCACGAAGAACTGCATTTTCGGCGACTCGTGCAAGTTCCCGATTGAGCTGCACGACATCGACACCAACGTGGTCAAGACGCTGGTTATTCGCTAGGATGAGCATGGTAAGATCCGACGTCTGGGGGACAGAATGATGAAATCGAATTGTGGTAGATCAGCACGCAAACGGGAGATACGTAGCAAAAATTCGGATCTAGGAGTATCTCATGGGATCCAGTCGACTAGGAAACCATGATTATGCTAACTGACGCGTACGTTCAACGACCATACAAGTGTGAGATCTAAAGTGTATTTTTGACGGTATTGTTCTGAAAAGCACAATCCGGGGGGGTTAGAACGCCCAATGCACATGTACAAGTGTCAATAGACACTCGTAGAGGCGTCGATTGCATATTGCACATAGGCATTTACCTATACGACAAGCATCTAGTCTCTAGATGTATTGTAGAAGATGAGCACAAGTACATGCTCATTCCCTCTTCCAGTCCTCAAACTCCTCATTCAGGTGTTGTTTCAGCGCTGTAAACTTGTTCTTGAAGTTCTTAGAACATCGCCAGCACTTCATATCCCAGCTGGGCCAGTCACCAGGTGCAAACCTCTCGCTTCCTTCCTCTAGTGGAAACTCGTCTAATCGAACAAGGAAACTAGAATTGAAGCTCAAGTAGTGCTTCTTATGTTTCATCCAGTCTGAATGCATGTCTCGACTGAAGATATGAATGTGCAGGTGATTCATCGAGGGATGGGTGTGCACGCCTACGACGACATCTTTGGACCAGTCCCGACCGGGTGGGAGGAGGGAAGCTTGTTCTTCCACTGGTGGTGGGTTGCGAGAGCACATCATTTCTTCCAGAGCCTCGTTGTAGGGTTTGTCCGTGGTGCTAACGTCGCCATACTGACGTCGGAGTTCGTAGGCAGCGAGATCCTTGAGGCGGATGACGCGTCTCTCTACTTCGGCAAGGAAGGCGGCGTCTGTGGACAGCGCGTGGAGAGGATGTTGATCGTAATATCTGGGTTTTCGTGGAATGAGTAGGAGGTGTACACTGAGATACTGTCAGCGCACTGGTTGCTTTGGCCTTGTACTGCATGAATACTCACCTCGCTTTTGGGTACTTGTCTGTTATCACAACAAAGTCCTCGTCGTACTCTAGTACTTTGTTCTCCGGGTTGGTCTCTGGACTCTCGATGTATACGCCCAATCCATTCCGCGGGTCCCAGCGCTTGACTGTCTTCGTAGCCCTGTCTACAAGGCCTGGACCGTCTGCGGCGGGTATGGCAGGTGGCTTTGGTTTTTTCGTCTGTGACATAAGTTCTGTAACTGCACCGTGAGTTAAGGTTGCGCTGTGGGTTGAAAGACATGGGGTACTACGAACATGCATTGGGGCGCTTCGACGAGCCGGGAGCGACTGCAGGTTGAGGTTGATTCGGCGTCTCAGCGCCTGCTATCTCTTCCTTTGTCATTGCATCGTGGGTATGCTTCGCGGCAGCCTGGTTCGTCATTGCTGACCCGATGCGACTTCTCGGAGTGTGCGAGGATCTGGTGTACTTATATCGAACTTGTATGCAAGGAACGCGAAACGCGAAGGCCGAATTGAAGCCCGAATCGAGTTGGCGCATCGATACCGACGAGTGAGCGCAATGTGACGATGACGATGAGGCTCTGATGCCATGGTCCAAGCGTACCGAGGCATCCCTGCAATCATCGGAATTTCGGATTGCGCATCGCATTCGAGGGAAAGGTCCAAGAGCTCACGATGGCTACCATTACAGCCTCTGTTTTCGCACTTGAATACCCCGAAGAGTGGTGGATCATCAGACATACTGGTCAAGACCTTTTATTAGAGACGGCGCCCTTTTCACCGCCCACAGGCAAAACAGATAATCCAATCTTTACCCTTCCGAGTCCAGCATACCTCCATGGAGGCTGAGAGATCTGGTCGTTTTATACATATCGTGAGAGATGCCAAAGAACGCCCATCCACCCCGTGGCAAGCCTGCCAAGAAGACTGTACCTCCTGAGGAAGACACATCGTTCATCGTCTTTGGGGACGGCAAAGCCAAGAAGAAGAAGGGGGAGAGTTCTGGGGGTGATGCTGGCCAGAACGAAGGCAAGGGCAAAGGAAAGTCTGCTGCTGGAGCCGCCGAAGATGGACCAAAGAAGCCGGATACGAGGACTTTGATCGCAGGTGCATCGTGGACAGGAAAACTCCCAGTCAATCTGCTGTCGGAACATTTTCAGAAGCAGCAGTGGAGCAAACCTGACTACCGTATCGTGAGTTGCGGTGCCAAATTAGTAGCAGGGCATCACTGATGTTCGGCAGCGCAAAGATGGTGACCAGCATTTCGCGTATGCTGTGGTACTGTCCAAGATGAATCAGAAGACACGGGAGACAACCACCCTACCACCCATCAAAATCCCCCCCGAACTAGAGGAACAGGCTCACCAGCCTACCGCCGTTGAAGCCCGCAACTTTGCTGCGGCCTATACCCTCTTTCGAGTTGCAAGCGCGAAGAACCTGCACATGATGCTCCCCCCAACATACAAAAATCTTTGGAAGGGACAGTTTATGGACCTCAAAAAGAGGGACGAGCAGGAGGGAAAGGGATGGATGTATGAGGCAGACCCCTTCTTCGGATTCGCAGAGCGGGAGAAGGCGAAGGAGGCAGCGACGAAGGCGCGTGAGAAGAGACAGAAGCAACAGGCAGAGTCGCAGAAGGCCCATAACCAACAGCCTGGTGCGGTCATGCCGAACTCCAACGGCCCGACCCCCAGCAGGAACCTGTTGAAGGGATGGGAAAGGGTACCCAAGATCGAGTTGGGTAAGAGGACGCGAAAAGAAGCAGAGCGTTTGATCCGTCGGGACGCACTGTGGAACCCGAACGGTATCGAGATGGACACGTCTATCAAAAATCGACTAGTCGGCGAGATAGAGGAGCTTGGCTTCCGCAGGAGTCATGTCCAAGAAGCTGCCGATATCTGCAAAGACCGAGAAGAGATCATCGAGTGGCTCCTCATCCATGTGCCTGAGGATGACCTGCCATCGTGGTCATTACCAGAAGGCTATGTGGCTGGTGTCAGCATGGCCAGCTCCAATCTCAAGCGTGAAGGTGCTGTAAAACGCCTTGCTGCTGCCGGATATTCTGCAGATCTCTGCGAGGAGGCTTACGACAGCCAAGGCAGCGATGAAAGGAAAGCTGCAGCTTTGCTACAAGCCCGTCTGCTGCGACCGGACGAGGAGGACAACATTATCGCACAGGATCTGGCTGATCTTTCGATGACGGATGGTGATTCTGATATGTCCCCCGAAGACGATCCCTGGGAAGTGGAAATGTCATCTCTTGAAGCCATATACGACCGTCTATTCTCACGTCCTGCTCCAGAATCGTGTCGAATCGAGCTAGATGTTAAGCAACAGGGAAAGAGGCTCATACTACAGGTCAGGAAGCCTTTCGGTCCTTACCCCGCCGTTGTCCCTATCATTACTTTTGAAGCGGCCATTCCAGCTTACATCCGCTTGAGCATCATCCGACAAGCGCTGTTACACGCCGAGGCCAACTTCGTTGGTATGCCCATGATCTACGATATCGTAGATTGGATCCAATCGAACGCTGGGGATATCTTCCAGAACCCAGGGAAACTGACCGATGTATCATCTGGCCTTGCGGCAGCAGATAATTCGTCGGAACAGCAAAGTCAGAAGAGAAGAGCAAAAGGCAGGCCCAGAAAGCCCATAGACTGGACGCCCAGAACACCTACTAGTCAAAAGCTGCTGTCTGACTGGCAGGCCAAGCAGAATTCCCCAGTTCAGCAAAAGATGATGAAAGCTCGACAATCACTCCCAGCTTGGAGGTTGAGAGATGACATCGTACGAACGGTCAATGATTGCAACGTCACTATTATCTCAGGTGAAACTGGATCAGGAAAATCGACTCAATCCGTGCAGTTCGTCCTCGATAACTTGATTCAACGACAACTCGGTGCTGTTGCGAATATAATCTGTACTCAACCACGCAGAATATCTGCGCTTGGTCTTGCCGATCGTGTGGCTGATGAGCGATGCTCTCAGGTTGGTGATGAGATTGGTTACACTATTCGTGGAGAGTCTAAACAGAAGCCTGGAGTCACCAAGATCACATTCGTCACAACTGGTGTTCTCCTGAGGCGCCTCCAAACGTCGGGCAGCAATGCCAACGATGTTGTTGCTGCACTAGCCGATGTTAGCCATGTTGTTGTTGACGAGGTACATGAGCGCAGTTTGGATACTGATTTCTTACTCGTTTTACTACGTCAGATCTTGCGACAGCGGAAAGATCTCAAAGTCATCTTGATGAGCGCTACTCTTGATGCTGCTGTGTTTGAAGCGTACTTTAAGGAGGTCGGGCCGGTGGGCCGTGTTGAGATCGAAGGCCGCACCCACCCTGTGACTGACTACTACGTCGACGACGTGGTTCATTTCACTGGATTCAAGGGGTATGGAACAGGGGATGAGGAGGTCATCGAGGACAAGTCTTTTTCTGCAAACCTCCGGAGTATTGGCTTTGGTATCAACTATGACCTCATTGCGGAAACTGTTCGTCACATCGATCGTCAGCTCGGTGATAAGGATGGAGGCATTCTCATCTTCCTTCCTGGTACCATGGAGATTGATCGAACACTTCAAGCGCTCAGTCAGCTCGCAAACCTCCACGCACTGCCTCTACATGCGTCACTCATGCCTGTTGAGCAAAAGCGTGTCTTCCCTCCCGCTCCCCACGGCAAACGTAAAGTTATCGCATGTACCAACGTCGCAGAAACGTCGATTACGATTGAGGATATCGTTGCTGTTATCGATACGGGTAGGGTCAAGGAGACGAGCTACGACCCACAAAACAACATGGTTCGCCTAGCCGAAACCTGGGCTTCCAGGGCGGCATGCAAACAGCGGCGAGGTCGAGCAGGCCGTGTCCGAGCAGGTGACTGTTATAAGCTGTATACACGTAATGCCGAAGCCAAGATGATGGAGCGGCCAGACCCTGAGATTCGACGTGTGCCACTTGAGCAGATGTGTCTATCTATCAAGGCGATGGGCGTTCAGGATGTCTCAAGCTTCCTTGCTTCAGCGCTCACACCACCAGAAAGCACAGCGGTGGAGGGTGCAATCCGATTACTCTCACAGATGGGTGCGATTACCGACGACGAACTGACCGCTCTTGGTCGCCACATGTCCATGATCCCGGCGGATCTTCGTCTGGGCAAGCTTCTTGTTTACGGCGCAACCTTCGGTTGTCTTGAAGCTGTGTTGACCATCGCGGCTGTCCTGACCGCTCGCAGTCCGTTTATATCGCCACGAGAGCGAGACCAGGAGACTCGAAACGAGTTCGACCACCTACGCGCATCTTTCTCAAACAATCAAGGAGACTTGCTTGTAGATCTTCGAGCTTACGAACAATGGGCTGCATTGCGCAGTAAAGGCATGTCAACACGAGACCTTCGTTTCTGGTGTCAAGACAACCGCCTCTCTCCTCAGACCATGTTCGATATCGCTTCCAATCGCACGCAGTACCTCTCATCTCTCAAAGAAATCTCCTTTATCCCAACGCACTACTCTTCTCTCAATCCTTCCACACATGGGTCATACAACAAGCACAACGCCAATGACGCACTCCTCCGTGCGCTCATCGCTGGGTCTTTCAACCCACAAATCGCACGCATCCAACTCCCCGACAAAAAGTTCGCCGCTGGAATTGCTGGTGCCGTAGAACTTGACCCCTCAGCCCGCGAGATCAAATACTTCAACCAGGAAAACGGACGTGTCTTTGTTCATCCTTCCTCCACGCTATTCGCCAGTCAGACATTCCCGCATAATGCGAGTTTCGTTGCGTACTTCAATAAGATGGCTACAAGTAAAGTTTTCATAAGAGATATCACGCCTTTCAATGCATACAGCTTGTTATTATTTGCTGGTGAGATCAAGGTTGATACTCTTGGACGCGGACTGGTGGTAGATGAATGGATACGGTTGAGAGGGTGGGCTAGGATCGGAGTGCTGGTTAGTAGGTTGAGGGGTATGTTGGATAACGTGCTTGAGGGTATGGTGAAGGAACCTGGGAAGGGCGTCAGTGAAAAACAAAGCGAAGTCATTGATATTGTTCGATGGATGGTTGAGCGGGATGGATTAGATGCTTAGAAGACCCGCTTAGCTTTAGATGAAATTGGTACAACGTGCAGTCTGCCTTGATTCATTGGCAAAGACGGACATGATAATGGAACAAGCTGTCTCCGCTAGCCATAGCCTATGCTGGGTGCCACACAACCTCAGTCTGCGCCGGTCTTCTTTGTGCCATCCAAAACATGCGCCTCCATTGTTCCTTCAGGCCACAATGTCGGTCCTGCAGCCGTATAGTTCGTAATCCTACTCCAAAACTCTGGTATCAGCACGCCCGTTGAATTCCACTGATATCCACCCGGAAATTTGATCGTCGGGCCCGGAACACCTACACCAGTGCCCACGACATTGATCTGCGCACAAGCAATATAGAATTGGTAGTTATCTGGTTTATGTGCTGCATGGAGCGCGAGACCTTCGGCGCGGAGCAGATAATCGCCTGGTGGTGTTTCAGAAGGAAGCTTGAAGTTGAACGTTCGCGCGTTGTGGGTTGCCCATTTGAGGATGCCGTCGCTGGCGCCGTAGCTTGAGTTCAAAGAATAGGTCAAGCTGTAGATCTTTGTCCAGTCGCCTGAGCCATCGTACTCAGCGGCAGGGCCTGGCGCTCTAGATAGGTAAATCTGTTGTGGCCCAGGGTGGCCGAAAGTATCCTTGACCGCGAAGCCTAGCATATCGCCAGCAGCAACGGTGTAGGTTTTGGTTGTGAGTGCAACACCGGATTCTGCACCGGAGTTGCAGCGCATATATATGGAATTGACGTCTTGAAGAGGGTAGTTGGAATTGTTCGTTTTGCGAATGTATTCATAGGGTGACCCAATGATCTCGCCATTAACGATGATACGGTCGTAGTTCCAGTGTGCGAGACATTTCGATGCGCTTAGCAAAGGACAAACTATCAAATTGGAGAGCTTCATTGCGATTGTTGTGTTGAACATAGAACAACTATCTGTGGCTCTCTTATACTATGTGCTTGGACATCTGGTCATGAGGCTCGGGGATCGTTGTACCGACATAGATGAGTATAGATAGTGTTTTCGTTCAGGATCCGGGAATGCGTGTGGATCTCCAGGATAATGCCAGGTTATTTATTGTTTTGCCGGTAGCGCCCGAGCGCGTAGATTGATGTTGGCCTAGAGAGCAAATGAACATAGAAAGACCATTCTGCATAAATCCTTCAAGCTTCGAGCAAGGGTCAATCAGAGTAGGCGATGGTTCGCAATGCTGATGAAAAATGATTGCAGATTTCAGCGATGCGCTCAATTACTGATCGTACTCATTGTGGCTTTAGGCAACGACCTTGTGCAGCCATAGCAGATGTCTCTTCTGGCATGTGTAGACTCGAAGTCATCTCCGTCTTGCTGATCACCACCCCAGCCATGGATGCCAAATCGACCGCCAGGTACAGGCATACTACACAGGTTGCATTTTGGGTCTGAAAGTGCATCCGGTCGAGCCTCAAGCTTGCTTGTTGTGCGTACGACATTTGCAACGATACTTGGAAAGTTCTCCTCGACCGATTCGAAGTACTGCGTCATGAGATCGTCAATAGTGGTATTCTTTGAGCTTGTCGATGCTTGGGTGGCTCCTGATGAGGTTTCATGAACAAGTGATGATAGACCAGGATCGGCCATGTTGATGTAAGATACTAGCTCTTTCTTTAGGACATCTCGAAGCGGGTAATGGAAGTTGAGATCAAATGGCGACGATCCGTCGGAGACTTGCCAAGGCAGAGAGAAACCTCTGCCCTTCGCGGTCTCAGCAAGTGTCTTTTGAGCGAGTCTGGTGGTGCTGTCACCCCAGAGAACACTTTCGCAACCAGTCGATTTGGCATATTCTACGATCAGCCTTATTCGAAGGGTAGACAACACGTCTGCACGAGCAGTTGCTGAGGTGAGCGAATTAATCATGCGAACGAAATGCTCCTCAGGGCTCCAGCCTACGGTTTCGTTGGTTTGTGGCACCAGAGACCGGATTGAGGCATCGTCTTGGACCATGCGAAATACATCGTGCAACGGGAGTGAGGCATAGTGATGGTCTGGGTATTGTTCGCGAGCCTTGTCGAGTAGCTGAGCAGCCTGCACTTTTTGCTCCGGGTCTTGGATGTATATCGCGCAGATTCCAAATCCGGTCCGGCCAGTCTTGCTCTTTTGCGTCTTTAGATGCAGATCGAGTATATGAAGGAGAGTTGTAGACGAGACGCCAAACGACAGGGGTACTAGTATCCTACGTTGCTGCTCGGCTCCAAAATTCACACGAAACGACTCCAAGCGCTTGATGCATTTTGTATGCACATAGCGGGCAAAACAGTCACTGCACAAATTTAGCAAATTCTTCTTCCCCTCTAGGTGGCGTAGACTGACTGGCAAAGTGGCTCAGAGCGCACAACGAGGACGGAAACATTGTCTTTGCATCGCCTGCAAGGCTCATCAGAGGTGCCAGCCATGTGTTTGCCTGGCATGGTGTATTGGTGAAAGGGCTTGGTAGGGCTGACTGGTCGGCTGTTTCGGTGATGGTTGCCCATTGAAGGCTCCAAGGCTGCGCCACATTCTAGGAAGCGCGCTAAGAGCTACCGGGAAGGCGGACTCGTAGGTGACGAACGCGCAAGCTAAACATCGACAACTAAACACGGCCCTACACCCATGACCCGTCTTGGACCAGGAATTGACGGAAAGACACTTATCGCCGACTCGACTCGAACCGCATCCCTCCGCCTGAAGCGCTGCAAACCCTCAGCCGTCAGCTCCGCCAGCTGGCCTCACATCGCGGCACGATGAAGGCACGGCTGCGCAACCTCGCTCTGCTGCTGTTAACTACTGTGACAGCAGTAGCAGCCATGGACGTGACGCTGTCTGACAAGGAGACGCAAAAATGCAGGTATGAGGAAACTGCCGGGCCATGAGTTACACATGGACGGCATGCTGATCCAAAGTCCAGTGGCATGTACAGCAAGAAGTCGTGGGGAGGCAAGGTCGACCCCTTCATACTTGTTAAGTTTATAAAAGATCCGAAGAAGAACGAAGGAATCAAGGACCAGACTGTCAGTGTCGTGGTCTGGGAATGGAAAGACACTTTGCTTCTGGGCGCACCTTCCGATTTGCCCGTGAACGATGTATGTGGGCCTTGCATGGTATCTGGATGATCCAACTGACAAGTCTCTCAGGAAAACCGCCATTACATTTGCGACGACGAATCGATCAAATTAAACCTCTGCAACGGCACACATAAAGGCGAATGGGTACTCGCGGAAGACGTCGAGAACCTCTGGCAAATGCCCATCAGGACCGCAGCTATCGACCTGAACGACCCGAAAGCAATCAAGTACCCGACCTCCACCACAGAGACCAAAGTACCAATCAAAACTGGCTATTACTGTGTGGCTGCGAATGCGCAAGACAAGCAATTGCAATTCGAGGCCATTGTGACTTTTCGAAACGCTTATGGAGAGCTGCAAGCCGCCCAGATCGCAAAGCTGCCCTTTTACGGCGGAATCACCATTGTGTATTTTGTTGTCTTGGCATTCTGGGGCTTCCTCTACTTCCAGAATCGTCACGATATTCTTGCCGTCCAAAACTACATCACTGCTATCCTAGTATTTCTGGTCATCGAGATGCTGATGACTTGGGGCTATTACGACTACCAGAACCGCCACGGTAACAACGTCGGCACCAAGGCACTCATGATTGTCGTCGCCGTACTCAACGCTTTCCGTAACTCCTTCTCCTTCTTCCTGCTGCTGATCGTATGTATGGGATATGGCGTCGTCAAGCCTTCCCTCGGCAAGACAATGACGGTCGTCCGCTGGCTTGCTGTTGCACACTTCGTCTTTGGCGTAATTTATGCTGTAGCCTCACTTACTGTTCGTCCCGATGACGCCGGACCTCTAGTTCTGTTGGTCATCCTCCCACTCTCAGCCACACTTACGGCGTTTTACATCTGGACCCTGAATTCGCTCAACCTTACGATGAAGGATTTGATGGAGCGAAAGCAGCACGTCAAAGCTACCATGTATAAGAGGTTATGGTGGTGCATTTTGACGAGCATTGTTGTCATTTTCGGTTTCTTCTTCATCAACAGCTTCACCTTCGCCGGAGCTTCGACCCCCGACTTTGCTCCGACACACTGGCAAACACGATGGTTCGTGCTTGACGGCTGGCTAAATCTTGTCTACTTGGCGGATGTGTGTTTTGTTGCATACATGTGGAGGCCAACAGCCAACAACCGGAGATTTGCCATGAGTGATGAGGTACGTTCATCCAACTGTACCATTTATACATTCTTACTGACGACTCTAGATTGCCCAAGATGACGAAGGTTTCGAGATCGCATCCCTCAGAGATTCTCTTGATGAAGAGGAAGGAGGCTCAGATCAGCCTCCATCCTACGACCCAGCGCAGAGGTCGAACAACAACGCGCGCGATGTGTCGCCATTGCCGGCACCACAAGCACAGAAGCCCATTGTTCCTCCCAGGGAGAGTCTTGATGGCGATACCATCTTCGCTGTAGGCGAGGACGACAAGTGGAGTAGTGACGAAAGTGACGAGAGTGACGAGAGTGACGACGAGTCAGGGCCGGCGAGCCCAAAAGAGGGCAATAGCGAGCGTTCAAGGTTAACGGGTCGTAAGAACGACTAGTTCTTGGCTTGACGCGACCATACTTCGAATTATTGAGCAGCGGCGTTGAATGCCCGAGAACGCTTTTCAAGTCGATAGCGTGTGCTCATATTCTGTCTTGTAGATTAGGCGTTTCTAGCGTTCTGAATAGTGATTTTAGTTCGAGGAGTCAGATGTGGCATATTCGATCACCTCTTAGTCTAGTCTTAACTCCGCAAATGCCGCATGCCGTCAGAGCTCTTTCTTGTCCATCACGTCCCTCATCTCACACCGAAAACCTGGTCACCATCATGGCTGCCCTATCGCTGGGTGCATCACGAAAGACGCCCAAATACATATGCGATGCTTGCAGGACGAATTTGCGCTGTCTGCCCAGACCCGCCGCCGACGCGCACCGAACATTTAGCACCGCGTCGTCTTCAAACGACAGAATCTCAACGCGACCGATAGCCCCTTCATTCTTTCGCAATCGAGCCGACATTCGACCATCAACCATTAGGAATGCTCGTGAAAAATCTTCGGGACGCCCTTACTCGATAGAGGCTTCTCTGCAAGCTGCTGGCTCGAACTTCGCAGCGCTTCCGCATCGCCGCCTTATCTCCCTTACTGGCCCCCATACTGTGAAGTTTCTGCAAGGGCTCATTACGAATAAAGTCGACGAAAGCCGCCAATCACCCTTCTACGCAGCCTTTCTCGATGCGCGCGGCAGAGTGTTGTGGGATGTGTTTGTCTGGGTGTGGCCAAAGTTGGTCCAGGAGAAGGAGCCTTGGGCATGCTACATTGAAGTTGATGAGAGTGAATTCGAGTCTTTGAAAAAGCATTTGAAGAGGCACAAACTCCGGAGCAAGGTGCAGATTTCGGATGTGAGTGCAGATGAGATAGGCGTGTGGGCGGCCTGGGGCTCAGAAGCCGGGCAACGCAGATCAGAAAGTACAATCGCCGAAATGAGCGATCCACGTTGCCCAGATATGCGTCGTTATCTCGCGAGCGCAAATACAACAACGGTAATAGAGGGAGCCGAGCCAGTGGACGTACGAGAATACCACCTCCAACGCTACAGGAATGGCATACCCGAAGGACCACAAGAGATAGCAAGAGAGAGCGCATTGCCAATGGAGTGCAACATTGATCTCTCGCATGGTATAGACTTCAAGAAAGGTTGTTACGTTGGCCAGGAACTTACCATTCGCACAAAACACACCGGCATCGTCCGGAAGCGCATCTTGCCTGTCCATATCGACAACCCCGGCAAAACAGCTGCCCTACCGGAACATGGGACTGACATTAAGCAGCTAGATGAAAACGGACATATCAAGAAGGGGCGTGCAGCAGGCAAGTTCATCAGAGGCATTGGAGATGTGGGTCTAGCACTGTGTCGATTGGAAAACATGACTAGTATGAAAATCAGTGCTGAGGGAGGGACGTGGAAATCTGGTATGGAGTTTGGGTGTGAGACGAATGATGGGATTGTCAAGTTAAACCCCATTTTGCACGATTGGTTCGTGCAAAGGGAGAGGGAGCTTTGGGACAAGAATAGGTTGAGGCTGTAGAGATATGATGAATTGCAGCATGTTCACCATTTTATGTCCCGTGTAAATACCTGTTTGTATTTGGATTCATCGTTGAAATATGCCGTGCAAGTTCTGGTCTTGGCCAGCACGCTTTGTTTGCAATAGCCCGTAAGTCTACCCGTGGATGGTGGGGCTGTGCAACTGTGGCTTGGCCCGTGTAGCCTGGAAAACGTCACCTGGCTGTTCCATGCCGTATCTTTACTATACCCCGACCACACCCGTAATCATAATTCCTGAACTCCCTCCCCTATAATTCGAATGTTCTTTTGCCTATAGTCCCTCTTTCGCAGCCAACGTGTTTGTATCGTAATAACTAGTTGATATGGTCGCCACACTACCCTCAAGCTCATCCAAGCACCACTTCTCCATTTCAAGCATCATCTCAAAATTTCGGGTAAGGAAAACGGCGGGCAACGAAAAGAACGGTGCGCAATCAGTGCAAGATGCACCACTAGAAGCGCGGCCGCCACTGAAGCCAGGAATGCTACCCTTAGTCCTACCAGAGCATCAACAAACTCTATCGAGACTCGGTTGGACCACTGTCACGTTTCCAAACTCTTTGTCAGCACAATCATCTCCAGACTTGAACGAGCCCCATGCGCCAGAGCCTGGACCTCATCCTCTTCAGACTGCCTACGAGCAGCTATTCGCAGCAAGTCAAGCTTTCTTCAACCAGCCCGATAAGGAAAAGCAGCAATGGAAGCACAAACTTAGGTCTGAAGAGGGCTGGTCCAAGATCCCAGGAGAAAAGGAATTCATCACTTTGAGAACTCTGGAGTATTGCCCAGAAGTCCTAAGAGAGCCTGCTGAGAGATATTGGGATCTCATCGGACAACACTGCAAAAACACGTTGGGCAGAATCTCGACGTCCCTGGGATTGCCAGACGGCGAAGATGAGGGACTGAAGCAATACGTCGGACCCTGTGGTTTATTGCAAGACTCAGATAAGAAGAAAACAGCGACAATGTTGCGTTTATTTCGATATGAAGGATGGGAAGCGAAGGTCGTCGCTGAACCGCATGCTGATCTAGGACTACTAAGTGTGGTGGTGGGGGATGTGCCTGGCCTGGAGGTCTGGGATGGAGCCGACTGGTTCGCTGTAGAGAAAGTAGTCGAGGGTTCTGGGAGAAAAGGAGCTACTATGCTTGCTGGACGGCAACTCGAACGACTCTCCAATGGAAGATATCCTGCTGGTGGCCATCGCGTCGTAGCTTATGGATCCATGGAACCTCCAACAAGCCCCACCCAATCTGCTCCGCAGCCTTCTTCCACTAATTGCGCTTCTGTCGATGATAAAAGATACCGGTTTTCGATTGTCTTCGTTCTCCGTGCTCATGAACCCACTATTATCAAATCCGATTCCCTAGAGACTGAAGTCACCGGCAAATGGGCTGAACCTATGAACGGTATTACTGCTGGTAAATTTTACGAGAAGATTCGAAGCCAGCATTTCAATATCAACATCGACATGGACGAGAGGGAGAAGCAAAGGAACAAGCTAAACAACATCAAAGGAGGGAGGAAAGACGAGAGATGAAAGCCTGTGAAAGAAGGCGAGTTGAGCAGTTATTCGATTAGTTGTATCGTATTTTAGACATGATTGCATAACCTTTGACAGAATCAATCCATACAATCATACATGTCGCTGCGAGGAGAGGAGCTAATCGGATTTGGCCTAGTATCCTCATTTGAACACCGAACCTTGTCCACCTTGCTTTATGCACATACACCACTAATGTCATCACTGAATCGCGCTGCGTGAGGCGATGCGCGAATCAGTCCATCGTTCATTGTAGCACTGGTATCAGCTGAAGTGCGCAGTATGACGCATACCTAGGTAGGTTTAAGGCCAGCTGTAGGCTCAGCCTCCTGTCATCTTGTGGTGGGGTCGAAATCGAAATCGAGAACCTCATCTCCACAACTCGTCGATACCAGTCCAAGTCTTTGAAGATCTGGCAAAATCCTCAGGCGACCCAACAATATTCCTCTGATACGCAGTTCCAACATGATCTTTATCGACACTAAGACCCTGGCTCTGCATGTTCGAGATTATGCTGATCCAGATCAACGGTATGCCATCTTGTCGCACGTATGGGGTCCTACCAAGGACGAGTTGACTTATGAAGAGATGAATGTTGCTCCGCAAGACCGTCCAAAATCCACGCTCGCAAAGCCAGGGTACCGGAAGATCATCGAGACCTGCAAGATAGCTTCTTCACCTCGGTACAGACTACCATATGTATGGTGCGATACTTGCTGCATCAACAAGCCTAGCAGTGCAGAGCTTAGCGAAGCAATCAACTCCATGTTCAGATACTACAAAGAAGCTCGGGTGTGCTTCGCCTATCTCTTCGACGTCACTGAAAGCGATTACTCCTTCATCTCGTCAAAATGGTTTTCTCGCGGCTGGACACTACAGGAACTCATTGCGCCGAGGGATGTCGTCTTCTACAACCAAAAATGGGAGTTTCGAGGTACGAAATCGAGCCTGGCTACCCAGATTACGGAGATCACAGGAATTCCTGACAAGATTCTCAAGCAAGAGATGGAGCTGAGCGAGATGCCTGTTGCTCAGCGCTTCTCGTGGGCAGCTGAGCGCAAGACTACCCGGGACGAAGACATGGCATACAGCCTCCTTGGTATATTCGATATTAACATGGCAATGCTGTATGGAGAAGGGTCAAAAGCATTCATCCGCTTGCAAGAACAGATACTCAGCCAATGTGCTGATGACTCGATCTTCCTGTGGAATGACCAATTCTCGGATCAAGAGCTGACAGGCCTCCTTGCTCCTTCTCCGAAAAGTTTTCGACAAATGCGATCAATCACACCTGAGCCGACAGTACGTCCGCGGGACTTTTATCTTACAAATCGTGGTATCCGTCTCAAGCTGGGTAAGAGATGTCCCTGCACGAATTGCATGTGAGACATGTACTGACCCCGTACATGCATCTTCTAGGTCTCGCATGGGACAACGATACCGGACTTGCTATATTACCAGTAAAGCACTCCCTTGGTACCGTGGGCAAACCTGTTGGTGTATACCTCAGGCGAGTGGGGCCGGATTTATTTGTTCGCGCGCAGCCTCAAAAATGCCCCTCGGTGAAGACCGAAGTGGTGTACACTGAGTTCACTGCAGTCAAATCGTTAACAGTTACGCAAGCCGCAACTATCATGGACAAAGTCATGCGAGTAATCAAGCCTGCGAGTGTCCGTGTCAACCGAGTGGAACCCAATGGCCTTTGGGATCCATCCGCAAAGTGGCTGCACGCAACGCACACTGGCGCCATCATCGGCTATATGGAGTTCAAATCCGATGCATACCCTGTCTTCGCATTTGTGTTCTTCTTCAGGAACGGCCATTGGTCAGCTACCGTGGTCGTTGGTGATCGGTGGATTGCTAGGCGGAAGGACTTTTACAGACACTACCATGTCAATCTTCATGAGCTCTGGTATTTCGACACAATGGGCGATTCTAGGATGGAAAAGATTGACAGAATTAAACCTGACTCCCATGTTTTGACACTGCATATGCGAGTCGCAAGGGGTACTGCACGACCCCACCTGGAGATAAGGGAAGTAGATAGGAAAGAGGGCTCATGATGAAGTGCCGATAGTTTCTGAGTACGGGGAGCGATAGAAATTCACACTATATCATAGATCAATCAGACAATACAACACAATCGGAAATGGACAGGCTTGTAAGTAGTTACATGAGAGTACAAAAGTCTTATATGGGTTTGAGTCACAAATATCTACAAGAATGAATGAAGAATGCTGTGTGAGCCATGATCATTGGTACAGGTAATCGTACTCCTTCTTCAACCTTCCAAAGCCAATCTTTGGCTGGTAGTCCTCGACCTTGTCAGCACCAAAGTCGTAGACGGAGTAATATCTCTGCAGGAACGCAGCACCGACAAGCGCGAACCCGTACTGCTCGCTGTCGTCAAATGGCGGCATGCACTGGTCACCAGGCTCGGTGAACTCGTCACCTCGCATAGTGAATGACACATCGTCTTCGGGAGCACCCTCACCAAGAGTCAGAGTGACTGCCCACGAAGCATTCAAATGTTGACACTCCATGCGCTCCTCGCCGTTCATAAGCTTGGTGACGTTCCAGCCAAGGTTGAAGTACATGGCATCGACAATCTCTGTCGGGACGGAAAGGCGTCCAGCTCCCGTATCGAAAACAGCTCCGGCTTGATACGTTGACCATGTCGTGTTGGCCTTTGGGAAACCGCCCTTCGTTACGGCGGTGGTGGGAAGACGACCGTTGTGAATCTCGATAGTGGCGTTTGGTGCCGATGGGTCCTCTGCAACGAGTACGTTGACGCTCCTGAGTGGCGCACGCCAGAGCTGATATTCTGCCTCTTTCCTCAAGGGTGCGTAGACCATCTCGCCGTCCACATACTTGTCTTCATGGCTGCCACCAATGGTCAAAACACCATCTTGCTCGCCTTCATCCTTCAAGTTCTTTCCGTAGTACAGTCCAAAACGTGGAGCATCCAGTTGACCGTTCCACAGTAACTGTTCGACCAAAGTCGTTGTGTTTTTCTCCGCAATGGTGGAAAAGCCTAAGCCGAGGAAACCGTCGGCGGTGATGAAACGCCAGCTGCTTTGGTTGGCGGACAGGAAGGTCTGGTTCCATTCTACGCCGCCGTCTGTAGTGCTGAAAACGTCCTGGAAGGTACCGCCAGCGACTTCGCCGCCTAGGTACGGGATCGACGCGGGAATGTCAAGGTTGACGGACGTTGATGAGGCGGACGCATTGTACTTTACTCGTTCGTAATCCGAGATCTTTCCGTCCGGGCAGGAGGCCTCGGTACAGTCAGTGTTGACAACGAAAATCGTTGACGAGCCGGTATCAAATAACAAGCGGTGTTCTTTGGCAGGTGTGCCGATATCCAGCTTGACGCTTGCATAGCTGCCCCTAACGACAACAGGCAGTTCGACTATGGATGCCGAGACGGTGGTGGCAACAGCCAGGAGCTTGGTTATGTGGGCCACCATGGTGGAAGACGGGATATTGAGAAGTCAATGTAGGGTGCAGTGAGTGTAGAGAAACGGGAAGCTCTCGAAACGGCAAATAGTGTCTGGTCTCGCCATAGGTATATACTCGAATTTACGCGATTCAGTACCACAAATAAAAATTGTATCTACCAGAGTACCCGCCGGTTGTTTCAATGGTCCAGTCCATTAGAGATGAATGTCGTATTCTATTTTTAATCGAGCGGCTTTCTGGAAAGCTTCAGGCTAGATGAAGCCTGCAGGCCGACGTGAGCTGGTCGAAAGGAGGTCTGCCAAACCATAAAAGGTCTAGTCTCGATCGGTCGGCCCGGACATGACCACGAGTGGCGCCGCTTCGCACGGGTAAGGCTGGCTAGATATGTCCTTGCAGCCACCGATGATGACATTAGAGCTGAGCGAACCTGGTAATGCGCATACGAGAACGTTACATCGAGGCAGAAACGACGTTCCACATAACACATGACTAAATCTCGAAGGACAGCAGGCGCAGCTAGTACGAAGCAACAGCTACGTAATAAGTAGCTCACAGGCCGAGGAACTTCCGTGAGCACAAATCTCCGAGTGATCTGCCTCTGTCTTTCGCACAGCACGTGGGACCGCGTCTTGCTTCTTAACCCGTAAGAGTAACACGCGCAAGACATTGTTCTTTACACATTTTCTGGTAGCCGCATCAGTGATGAATTTGGTGTTGTCGAAACTCGCTTTTCGTTTTCGCTGGTCAAGAAGATGGCAAACTTGGCAAGGTATGCATTCCCACAACGCAAAACTATTTGATGACCAGGTAGTACAAGCGATTCGGCTCGAATGGAGGCGCTGGATAGAACAGATGGCTTTGCGATGCGCGAGAAGTAGAGGCGTTGAAGCCTGCACACAGCGTAGAGGGCTTGTGAGGAAGGTGCAAGGGCGTTCGGTCAGTAAGTAGGACATTGGCTAATCGTAGGGAAAGCTGATGCGTGTCAGAGCATCTCGCGGTCTTGGAATGTGCTTGATCAAGTGAATGGAGGGTGTTGTTCCTCGATGGTGGAATGATGCAGACCAATGGGACATTTGTGCAGCGAGGCGTGACGTTTGATAGGGTTCCAAGTTTGGTGTTTCATCGGTTGCGGAGTGCGGAACACGGCCGTAGCGTCGAGTTGCAAACGACAACCCAGGAAGCCGAAGGCATGATGCCGTCAGTACAACAAGGGAGAAGGTCAAGCAGCCGGCTGCAGAAACAGTGTCATGTGCGGTGATTTAAGAAGACTTGAAAGGACCGAGCCGCATCTCCTTTTTGCAGTGAAGTGGCCAGGAACAGGCTAGCGCGTGAGACGTTTCAGAACAAGACAGGGGGGCATGCGTTCGGGGAAGGACTGCGCAAACGACGCCAAAATCATATCACCCTCCTGGCCAGCGTCACGACCTCAGTTCCCACGGCGTGCCCCTCACTGGCAGCGACATACCCGTGGCCACATTGCTTTTCGCTCACTCGCATGCGCCCAAACACTCGCGCCCGATTGCCGCACCACGACCCGTGGCTCAGCCGCTCCTTGCTCGAAACACGCCCCAAGAACGCATGCGACGCCTGTAACGCTGTCCCCGGACCACGCACGCGATTCTCTGCTCTTTGTGCTGCTGCTGCTGCTGCTGCTGCTGCTGCTGCTATTTCCACGGCAACTCGAGTCGCGCTACCACGTCCCTGCGCAGGTCGACCCAGCCACCCATCGCGCCTCGTCTCACCTGGCCATTCCTCCGAACCACGACCCCCAATCGTTCAACGCGCGCAGAGGAATGAGCTAGGATGACGCGACCCCATATCATCAGAGCAGGTACGAAGGCAACCACCGAGTGCGCAACGCGAGGTGCGCCTGCTAACCCATGTGTCTAGACACCATCGACCTGCAGGACAAAACATCGCCCACCGCCAAGGACCACTCCCACCAGCCCCAACACCCGGCGCCGCTTGGAATTGGCCCAGCAGCGCCCCATCAGCAGGCTGCCATTCGACAGGTCGAGCAAGAGCGCAACTCCGAGGAGGCCCGTCTGCAAGATGCATGGAGCGACGCTGGCAGTCAGCTACGAGACGACCCCGGCTCCGATGACGACCGCACGGTAATGAACAACGCCAATGCACCAAATGGCCCCCAGCAAGACGAGCAGGCTGTCAGGCTGAACGGCGGTGCATCCGCCGACAACGATGATGCCGACATGCAGGATGCCGATGAGGAGGACATGGACGACGACATGATGGACAAGATCTCGAGTTCGCCCTCGATAGACGATGGTGGGTATTCTCTGCCTCTTCTCCCCGCGATCTGGCCGGCGAGACGAGAGTCTCTGACTCCCCAGTCTTCGCCCGTGCTCTCAACTATCGCTTCTCCTTCTTCTTCTTCTTCCCCGTTTACGAATACGCCTATTCATTTTCCCATCTCTGTCCCTAGTCTTTCCTCACGGGATCGACCTCCATCCATCTCCGTTTCTTTACTATTTCCTTTGCACCCAGAAAACAAGTCAACGGAGCATCATCGTGGTGAGTATTCCTGGACAAGGGCCACCACGACACCGGACAATAACGAACAACTACTCGCAAAGGTGGGCACCAGTCCAACGACGAGACGACTAAGGACCGTCCAACGTCGCATCGAGACAAGAGAAGACTCTCAGGCATCACTAATGTCCGAACTGGACGAGGAGCAGGTCAAACGCATATTGGAACCGATTGATCGTACCCTTCTAAACACACCGGAAGACCCCTTTCTGGATCCTACCCCAAGTTCACCTCGAACGATAAATGACACTCCACTCAAGGCTAGCCAACCCGAAGGTGAAGAGGATTCCTGGACCACCGACAGTGACGCCGACTCTTGGGACGCAGATCTGGACCAAGACAACGATGATGCATCCAACGACGTCTCTTTTTCTGATGACCCTAGATTTATCGACTCAGGATGGGGAGGCGAATGCTTACGAGAAACAGAAGATATCGACTTCGAATTCGTCTACGCCCTGCACACATTCGTCGCGACCGTCGAAGGTCAGGCAAACGCAACCAAAGGTGACACCATGGTGTTACTCGATGATAGTAACAGCTACTGGTGGCTGGTACGAGTTGTCAAGGACAACAGCATCGGTAGGCATTTGCAGCTAAACCTTCAACAACTATTTCTAACTCAAGCTACAGGCTATCTGCCTGCCGAACACATCGAGACACCAACAGAACGCTTAGCCCGCCTCAACAAGCATAGAAATATAGACCTCTCCGCAACCATGCTTGGCGACACCGCCGAGAAATCCAAAAATCCGCTCAAAAAGGCCATGCGACGAAGGAATGCCAAAACTGTACAATTCGCGCCACCTACTTACGTCGAAGCCTCAGATTACGATTACTCGTCCGACGAGGGTGAGGGCGAACTCTTTGGTGGACCAGAGCCAAAACAATTACAACAGCAGCAAGCGGCAACACAGGACGGCGATGCTGCTCAGGAAGAGAACCTCCAAGTACAACCACTGAAGGTAAATGGTGCAAAGAAGGTTGGTCAAACCGAGGGTGATGCACGAGGCTCAAGTGAGGAGTCTGCGAAACGATCAGAAGACCGAGAAAGAGGAAGCGAAGACGCGGTAGATCGGCCTTTGGACCCCAAAGTCTCTCGCAACGGTACGCTGCGCAACACAGACTCTTTCTTCAAAGATGAAAATACCGAAACGCGCAAGATCACACTTACTCCTAACCTGCTTCGCGACGACTCAAGCACGTCAACTACCGGCTCTCGCGAGCGTGGGCCTAGTCTGGAGAGTCTGGAAAAGAATGGTTTCGCGGACAAGGTCAAGGACGACAAAAAGAAGAAAGAGAAGAAGTCAGGTATGCTCAGTGGACTCTTCAAGCGCAAGGACAGGAAGGGTAAAGGTGCACAAGACTCCATGGACAGCGACATCGAGAAACCGGAAGAAGCGGATCGCAGCTCGCCACAATCAAAACCGTCAGACGAACTTGCAGAACGGTCGTCAGCTGAACAAGTGACAGCTCCAGCACCGTTGAGACAATTGAGTAAGCCCAAGGTGCACAGAAGTCACCGAGACGATTCGCCGCAGAAGACAAAGGGCATCTTGAAGACTGAAAGCCCAACAGAGATGAGCGCTGAACCAGATGAGTTGGACAGTGTTGACAATCAACCGGCTGCACAACAAGCTACTTCGACTATGCGTTTGGTATCACCTGAACAAGATGAGACAAGCAAGTCAACGACAGAAGACCAAACCAGGTCTCCGGACTCAACATCCAATACCACAAGCTCAAGAAACCCATTCAGTAATATCATGAAGCCTCAACAAGAAGGGGAAGTCAAGCGCGAGAAGGTTACAAAGGCGAAGCAGCGTGTGCAATTGGATGATTTCGACTCGGATGAAAGCAGCGATCCTTTCGCAGATCCTGATGCTCGGGACAAGCAGGGGGAAACGGAGAATGTAGAGTCTACAGGTCGTCTTTCCGAGTCGCCAGTTCACGTCTCCGCAGCGGATGCACAGCCCTTGCAGAAGGAAGTTGTTGCTGACAGGGAAAAAGAGTCGGAGTCTCACCACGCTCCAGGTTTGTCTACTGATAGCTCAAGTCAAGAAACCAGCTCGCCAGTATCAACGCCTACACCGGACGACAGCCCCATGAAGACTATTCCTGAGAACAACACCCTTTCGACATTCAGGTCTGACAACACGTCATCGCCCACGCATCGTGCATCTGAACCGGCTGGTCCTCCGCCGTCAAGACCAGCACCCATCCCTACCAAAGATCGCGAACCCTCACCTCCTGTATCGGCAGAAAGCACAATGCTTTCTGCGTGGTCCGACGCCTCGCTTCGTGCCTACCTGGATGACGGTAGCGAGATCCGCGATATGCTCGTTGTCATCAATGACACCACAGGTGTTGTGCCAGTCGGCCGTGATCATCCTCTCATGAAGGACTATCTCGCTGAAGAGACCAAGACCATGCAAGGCCTGAGTGGCGAACTAGATCGTCTGCTTAATGGGCTCATGGAGAAGCGTATGAAGAGAGCAGGCAGTGGTGCTAGCACAGCACGCAGCACCAGTGCAAACGGGAGTTTGAGGACGGGGTCTAGGTTCTAGATGCGCGTTTATTGTAAGTCGTATCTTTTTTGCGTCTTTTGGTATACCCTAGGGATTGTTTCTCTTTTCTCTTCTGGCGTTTTTGGGGAATTTTAGCACGCATTATGTGGAAACGAAATCTTGGGAGACCTCTAGGAGGATTGGTCGGATTGGGCTCACCTTCTTGTTCTCTTCTGATACCTTTTTCTTCCTTCACTGACTCCTTTTCGTCTGGTCTACATCGTTCGCTCGTCGCGCGAAATGTGCATTTTTATATGAAGCCCTGGTGGTGGCTGGTTTATATCTTCACAACTGTCTCTAATACCCTTTCGATTGCCCTGTCATAGCGCTCGTTTCTTGTCGCTTTCCTTATCGGTGTCTGGGAATTAGCTCTGTTGCACTCAGCCGCATAGGCGCGCTTTACTTTCTTCGTGCGTGGCGTTGTATTGCTAGCATTTGTATGCCAACATGTACCCCCTGTGGGGGCTCGCCATACTCAACCTCCAGATGTTGATGTCTGTGTCAATAAGTTCCTCAGCAGTGATATGTATCAGCAACGTGCTCTTTTACGGATGACGTTTTTAAAACCACACTTGTCTACCTCGAGATGGCTAGATATTTAATTACACAAGCAGCTTTATACAGGCACGTGCTCACTTCAAAGCCGCGGTCAAAACAATCCCCTCGCCTAATACGGCTAGAACTATGTAGTTGCCTTGTCACATGCGCGATGTGTTGAAGGAGGTGACCATCGTAGATCGTTGGAACGTTGGAACGTGTTCTGGCTAGAGGCTGATAGCATCAATGGTGGTGATGACAAGCCGATTACACACTGAATGTGTGAAGCGATCCTGCACAAATTCGCCGAGATAGAGACGGAGCCAGATTTGTAATTTACAGATATGCGTTCTCAACCGAGACAACTGCGGAGAAAGGGAAAGCTGGAATTCCAGAATTCTGAAAACAATCTCTGGAAGACCTTCGCCGCCACTAGTGCGCAGTATTCCGCAGTGCGAACTCAAAGGCATCCCGGCAAGCTAGACTGTTGCAGAGGATCTTGGCTGCAACTTGTAACACACTGAAATCAGGCGCGCTCTCAGGCGGCAAATAGCACCGTCTTCAAACCAGTATCAATCGTAGTGTTGTCAGCGAGAAACACCCGTTGCATGCAGGCTGATGATCAATCCATCACCTTCCAAAGATAATCATGAGGATGCGCTACGCAACTGTTATGGCTGTGCCTTTCCATGAGCATATGGAGCATATATACATCCGCTAGGAATGAACCATAGAATCTGGAGCTTGCGCAAGACCAGTGCTGCATTGTATTCCTGGAGATTTATGGGTCAGAAAGTGTCGAAATGAGCGCCTGTGGCCATTACTTCTACCTCTAATGTATTGAGAAATAGCTCAACGACATATGGCCAAAGTTCCAATCTCGGTTCAAAATGTCGGACCCAGGTCCGTGAGAAGTGATGGGAAGTTCGACCTGTGGGATACTTAGATCATGACGAAGACGATGCGTCAGAAAGTGCTGGTGCATGATCCGGCAGGTCGGAGAACGAAAAATGGCTGTGACGGAAGATATATGTGACAAAGAGGATGTCATTGAAGGCAAATATCACAGGCCTCTAGCAATGCAGGAAACTCACATATGCATAGTGAGTGATAATTCTCGATGGTGCTTGAGGATTGACACTGTCGGGTGTGCCTCTCCATCTCTATGCGTACTATTCTCATACTTTCATCACTTCTGTCTGCAACGCTTTGATAGGCTTCTCGTCAAACGCTGCAGCCTCAGCCTCCTCAAGTCCCAGACTTTGCGCAATGTTGTATAACCTTGTCTTTTCCTCATGCGCAGTGCTATCGCCAAACACAGCATCCATCTCTTCCAAGCTCTTACCCCTTGTCTCAGGAATCAAGAACCATGTGAACACAAACGCAATCAAAGCGAAAGCGGCGAAGAAGATGTATGTGCCGAAACCGATGCTCTCGAGCATGTCTGGTGTGACAAGACCGATGATGAAGTTGCACATCCATGTCGATGAAGTGGTCAGAGACATGGCCTTTGACCGGTTACCGATGTTGTAGATCTCCGAGGGTAAGACCCAGCCAATTGGTGCCCACGAGTATGAGAAGTTTACGTCGTAGATATAGATGAATGCAATGCCTGTCCAGCCAGCTGCGGGGTGGTCTTTGAGCATTGATCCGTAACCGCCAATGACACCGCCAACGATCAAGAGAGAAATACAAGTACCGGCAGCACCACAGAGAAGGAGAGGGCGGCGACCGATCTTGTCGATGAGGAACAGCGCTGGGAGCGTGGATAGCGTGTTAACTATCCCGTATACACCTGTTGCAAGCAAGCCAGTGGTCTTGCCAGAAAGACCCAACTGCGAGAAGATTGTAGGCGCATAGTAGATGATTGCCTGATCACGATGTTAGCTTGCTATCTATGTCAAGCAATGCGCACAATCGGAACATACGTTACACCCGATAAACTGCTGGAAGAACATGACACAGCAGCCAATGGCCGTACGCTTGAAGGACGGCCAGGTAGAGAAGAGGGTCGAGTAGCCAGCCAGGTACAACGATACCCCAGACTTGCCAGGAAACTTTTCGCGATTGTATTGTTCTTCGAACATGACTTCAGCTTTGATAGAAAGATACTCTTTCTGGAGCAGTTCATCATCGGGGTTGGTGCGACGAACTCGGGCCAGCGCTCGGACACCAGCCTCTTCGTTGTCACGCATACAATAGTATCGAGGTGATTCGGGAAAGAAAAGCATGCCGATACCGAGAACGAGACCAGGGAATATCTGAATGGCGAAAGGTACGCGCCATGCGGCATCGCTTTGACCGGTGCAGCCGTTAGGGCCAACGTCGTTTCGTGGGTCGAAGGCAGGCTCGGCCGCAGTACCACCAGTATAGGCAATGTCAGGCGCGCAACGTACGCCTCCAATGTATTGAGTTCCAAATTCTAGCCAGTACGATACGAGGATACCGAGCGTGATGGAAAGCTGTTGAAGAACAACTAGAGTACCTCTGATGCCGGCAGTTGAGACCTCACTCATGTACATTGGAACGATCATCGTCAACATGCCAACAGCAAAACCGGCAATTGCGCGACCTAGATGTGGTGTTCAGCATGGATTCCAATCATGTTTCTCAGAGTGTTTCATACCTGTAAAAGCCATCGGAATGTTTATTGCGCCAGCTTGGAGTGCAGAGCCGACGGTGAAGATGACGACAGCTATAATGATAGACCCTTTCCGACCGAAGCGATCGGCTACTGGTCCATTGACGAGAGAACCGAACCAAGCGGCAAGCAGTAATGTTGAAACGAACCAGCCCTTGAAAGAACTGTCTGTATAAATTCTGGGGAAGGATGCGGCAAAAGACTCCATGGTCAGCACTCCAGAGACAACACCCTGATCATAACCAAAGAGGAAACCACCGAGGGAAGCGAACTATGCATATTAGCTGAAACTGCAGGCACAGAAAGGTTTATTTCGACGGACCGCAGATAAACCAAGAAGGTATGGGTTTTGTCTTAGCTCTTTGTAGACACCAATCTTTGGTGCAGCGCCAATAGCAGTGACATCGTGAACCGAGGGCATCTCTGCAATGTTCCTTGTGAGTATGCCAACGTTGGTCTTGAAGAAGAGGGATCCAATGTGGGTAGGTGGTTTAGTGGTGGCAGCACCTCATGCTTATATACCCTTGGTGCACATCTCAACCCTTCATAAGTATAACTGGGATCGGACAGCTTCGGAGCACTGTCGTCCGACCCCACGATACTCCATGTGTCTGCGCCATTAGCCGTATATGTGATGCGGGTTCCCCGCGTGCCCACATGGTAAAGTTGCCTGATTCAGGTATGGAAATTGGGTCTCCAGCATGACTTGTGCTCGGAGGGATGTGGTCCGAACTCCACAACGCAAATGTGATCTTTAGATCATCGCGTGTCGCACGCAAAGCTGTAGATTTTTTTGCTTCCTCCTGCATCTTTCGATTTGAACATCTCCAAAAAGTCTTTGCAGTTTATTGAGACTTCTCTCCGATCTATCGCAAGACAATCAGCAATGGCAGACGACTCCAGCAAGGACGCCTTACGTGCAGCCATACTTGATTTGGCCAAGCGCACGGAAAACCTTCTATCTCGCCAAGCATCCGATCCCGGTCGTCGCATGCTTGTTGCGCTTGCAGGCGTGCCAGGCGCGGGGAAATCGACAGTATCTGATGCGCTCATCACCGAGCTCACTGCTCGAGGCAATAAAGATGTTGCTGTTGTACCGATGGTAGGAGCTGGTCGCAATCAATGACGTAGCCTCTCTAACGATTGCTAGGACGGCTTCCACTACACGCGAGAAATCTTGTCAACATTCGACGATGCCGAAGTAGCGTTCAAAAGACGTGGAGCGCCATTCACATTCGATGCAAAAGCATGCGTGACTCTTGTCAAGGCACTCAAAGAAGCTGCTGTCACCAAGGACGGCGAAGCCGACATCTGCATCACTGCACCCAGCTTTGACCATGCTGCTAAAGACCCCGTGCCAGAAGCTATCAAGATATCCTCTCGCACGCGACTCGTGATTGTCGAAGGTAATTATACGCTTCTGAGACAGAATCCATGGAATGAGATTGCGGAAGTGTGTGACGAAAGGTTGGTGATACCCGTGAATGTTGCTCCTCAAGCGCATATTGACATTCTGTAGGTGGTTTGTCGATGCGCCTGTAGACACCGTCCGCACACGCCTAGCGCAACGTCACCTTGCTGCTGGTATTGAGACTTCCATGTCAGCTGCTATTGCAAGAGCGGAAGAAAACGACATTCCAAACGGCGAATTGATACGGTCCTTGTTGGTCAAACCCGACGTGGTTATTGAAAATTGAGCAACTCCTGCCTCTTCGATAGATCTCCGCTTCAGAACCCGGACGTCGTAAAATCCCAATCAAAAGAGTTGAATAACTCGTTGGACTCGATGGACCAGGGAAATGTGCTCAAAGCGTCTTTGGAAAGCTCCAGATCTTGCAGTCCGCCTGAATTTAAGTCGCCATCGGACACGACTTGGTCAAGAATCGCTACACAACGTGCTGATAATGAATCTCCAACAAGCCGTTCTCGAAAGGTGGTTCTCGCCAAGCGAACGTCGTCGTGCCAAGTCGTGGTCTCCTCAGCGCGCGGAAAACTGATGATACATAGCGTTATCACGAGTGCCGCATGAAACAGGAAATATCTACAGACTAATCAGTTTCAAATTTCACCTTGCTAAGCAAGATGATGTACTCACGTCGCGTACCAACCCTCGAGTCTATTCAATTCCTGCATCGCATATTGATGTATCGAGACAACTGTAGAATGCGCAGCTTCGAGACATATCCGCTTGCAGTCTTCTTGAGTCGATTGCGTAGCTTGATCTGGTATCTGGCCTCGTTCGGAGATCGCTCGGCGTAGCAGAATTTGTCGGAATATAATGATCTTGAGGTTCCAAAATCTCCACCACAGCCGAGACCGCGCGAACACATACCACTGGACTGACGAGCTGGGTGCTCGGGACAGCTGGAAGTATGGCGGAACTGTGTGTGTCCATGCATCCACAGAGCTATTCAAAGCGAGCGCAGCCTCAGCGGAAAGTCCGGGCTCGGCTAGTAGTTTATTCGAAATATGGTTTGTCTGCAGGTGGAAACTGCTCTGCGCTCTTAGCGACGAGTAGATGGTGGCCTCGTCAACCTCAGTAGGGAGTGTTACAGTTTGTGGCGTAAGTGACTAGTATCGGTCAGTCCCACGTCGTCTATGTCTCCTCCGTTGGGCAGCCGTACCTCATCTTTAATGTTCAGTACCGAATGAACATCCATTGTCTCTTGGTCGGGTAACATGATGGCACGGCCGAAAGTCGTGGAAGCCCCACTATCAAAGATGTATAGGCCCCACCATACTCTACGTCTTGTCTCACGTTCGATCAGGGTAATGTTCCAGTGAGGGAGTTCCCTATGAAGTGCCAGGCTCAGCGCTGTACGAACAGCGAGACCCAGTAGATTCCATCCCGTATTTGGGCTATTGCGTTTTTGACTGAGGTTACTCAGGAGTATAAGTGCTTGCACAGATGTCAGGCTGGCGGCTTCAAATACCGACTCCTCTTGACCCAATGTCAAGGCTCGACGGTACAGGTAATCCTCCAGGCCGATTTGGTCATTGTTTAATGTCCACGCACCAAGTGCTATAATTGCATGAGAAAGCATGTTCCACGACTTTTTTGAAGGTCGCGGAACGACCTCGTGATATTGAGCACGAAATGTTGCTTCGTGGACGAAGGGATAGACAACGTGGTAATTGGCAAAGTAGGCATCGATCAAGCTCGATGATAGTTGCGTTGTAAGAGCTGCGTGTGAGATGTGTGATGATGCTAACACGTTCCGGAAAGAAGCAGATGGGGCCGTCAGGTTCTGCTGAGGTCGAGCGACAGACTGATGCAGAAAGCCGGCCCAGTCAAGCAAGCACCGAAGAAAAACTACACCAGAAGTCGAGCCTACATTGTTTTAGCTTTGTTTGCCGACATTTGAGTGAAGGAACTGACCAAGATAACCTACACCGGTTGGCTCGACCGAAAGGGCGGCCATGCCATCCGTCAACCCATCCACGTTAACGTCTTCTTCCTGCCAATTGAAGCCATCAACGTTGTTTGGCACAGCCTCAGGAAGGGCAGGCTCATGTGTACTTGAGTTAGTGCTGCCTTGCGGGCTTGGAGCTACCTCAGGCGTTTGGGACTGTATGACTGATCGTGCAGTACCAGCCACATTGGAAGATGACAACAGATCTTCGACATCGACGCCGGGTAACAACTGCGTGACCAGTGACTCCAAACTGTGCAGTCGCTTCTCTACACTCGTCAGATATGCCCTTGTCAAGGGTGATCTAGCGACTTTGCCGCTGTAATGGCAGTGCGAACCGCTATGGGCGCAGGAAGTGCAGATGGGCGCATCTTTCGAGCACTTTAACTTCTTCGCGCGGCAGCGATCGCATGAGAGAGCATCTCGTGGTCTTCGGTGCTCCATGCATGGAGCGTCTCTAGTGTAGCAGAGGTGGGGGCGGGATACGGATGCAGAACCATCGCAGCCAAGTGCAGCTCGAGCGCTGATCTATGCCGCCATCGGCCCGAGCGGCGGCACTGGGCGACTAATCAACGACTGCTTTTCGCGCACCACTTGTTAATGAGCACTCTACTAGAACTTCTAGTTGCACCTTCATCAGGCGGCTTACCGCGACGCTATGCCTACAGCATCTTCAGTGATGATATACACTTACAGAGTTTGCAATGATAATCCGGTTATATGTCTTTTGTGATTCGTATCTGCAGGTAGTCTATATCTTCTTTGAGCAATTCCCTCAGCCGATGGTACCTCTGCGCACTTGAGAGCTTAACATCCAACGCTTCTACTTCAGCCCTCAAAGCTACTTCTCGAGGGCTTGGTCATTTACATACTCAGAAACTGGACTCTTGGCAGACTTCGAAATCTTCGAAGCTAAACCAAAGTTTGAGTGGGAGGCTGGGTTGCCCATCATGCGATCCATCTCGTGGGCGTCTTCGCCATCTTCGCCTACACAAATGAGCAACGCCTTATACGCTCTCTCGGACAATACGCTCGCTCGTCTTTTGTCACTGTGCCAGATTCTGAGCTGTATCGCGTGACAGTAGGTATCGCCTCCATGACTTTAGCGGCGCCATTAAAGTCCTGCGAAGAATCAAGTATTGAGCTTGCAGTCCCGTTGTGCGAGACAACCGTACCTCATTTGAGAGCTTCAGTATCGCAACGAAGATAGAGCAATGCCTCTCCCGGATTGGACTTGGTGCGATCGCCTTGCACCACCACTAATTTACTTTCACGAGCAGGGTGTTTGCAAATTTCGCGCTTAGGAGGGTTGGGATCGTCTCTTATATTACGCTGCGTTTGCGCAACCTCACCACAAGCTCTAGGCTCCACTCACATCTCGTGCACTAATTCGTCAACAGGCCAATCTCTCATGTAACGACAAACGCAGAACAGGAGAGTCTGTCACGAGTAGCAGCAGCAGTTGAAAGCGCCGCCATCGTGCAATATTTCGGAAAGATCTTGTTTTGGTCGTTGATTCCAAAACCTTAGTGATTACACTGTCTTTTGGAAAGTGCGGTCGGCCTTCTCTCTTTACCTCGATCTTATCAAGGAACCTCCATTTTCACTCACCCAACCCGGATCACGAAGCGTATATTCCTAGGAGCACTAGTTATCCGAGCTTTCCCCCTCACTGGTCACACCCTACTTCTCTTACTAGAACACTCTTACGTCTCTCCTAAACTCACCTCCTTCTTGAAATACCCCATCACTACAGGCTCATCCAGAAGAACACCACGATGCTTATCAAAATCATGCTGGTTGCTTCGGCACTCCTCTCGTCGACTACTCTTGTAGTTGCTCAAGTGATGCCCCCAGACTTCACACCCGGCCGTTGTTTCTTCGATGCGATTGTCTCCCAAGATTGCGACAAGGACCAGATCACTACATTCCTCGACGTATCGCCTGTATATGATGGCGCTGGCAACGAATTCATGGAGCAAACTGACTCAATCGACTTGACGGACGG